TGTATTTCATATTTTTCATGCTTTTAAACATTAAATAAATAGACCATAGAATAAACGGTTTAATTTCTGTAAATAATTTATTTTTCTCAATTTTAAAAGCTTTTCATAAGTCATTATATATCTTTCTTTTGATTTTTCAGGCAATAGATTTAGTGAAACAGCATTTGCCTTTTTAACCATGTATGGTGAAGTTAATGGTTCACTACAACTACTGTACTAATTGTCATCTTTCGTATTTATATTTGCACGCTTCACAGTCAAACCATCACTGGTTTGATTGTGTGACATACTCGCGTCGTTTGCAATAAAAAAGAACACTTAACAAGGATAATTAATGAAATTATAACAAATTCCGGGATAAACGGGCCAAAAGCATCACAATAATATTAAAAAAAAAAGAAATAATAAATATGATAAATCTGAAAATAACAATAAAATCACATATGCTCAAACGCGTTGTTATAATATAACAAAACAAATCGTATAAAAATAAAAATATTTTTAACAAATATAACGGAACATACCTTGGACGGCCGAGTGGTTATTCCCCCGCGACCGAGTTTACACGTGCGACGAACGCCACAACCGGCAGAAGAATCGGTTGATCAGCGACGTCGGTCTCAATGTACAATAACTGGCTTCTCAACGCAGGACGATAACCGAAAGAAAATTTCACGGACACGGGTCAGCTACGGTTCGAACAGTCGTCACACACACGAAGTTTTCCCCGGAGATGGCGACGCACAGTGGGATATTTTCATAAAAACCTGGCCAAAATATAAATACTAATTAAAAACTAATTTTCTTAAATTTATTTAATTATTTATTACATGTTATTTGAATATATTAATGTTATTTTATATATATCATAAAAATTAAATTTTAAGTTACGTTTTTGTTGAAAACTATATTGGACTATATTGTTGGACTATATTGGGTACGTAATTGTTCGGTTTTTCTTCTTTTTAATCGATCACTACTATCGTGATATGATATTGAAGGCCGACCACTAGATTTGCCCAACTGAGTTGAAATCTTCGAAGAAAAATGTATTTCAGAGTCTAATCAGGTTTTATTTTTTAATAGAAATATGTCCTTTTTTCTCTGTGATGACTGCCATTTAGATTTAAACTCACTAATGAAGTATGACAATAATTTATTTAATTATTTTATTTATTTAATCTGTTAATGTAAATAAACGTTTTTCAAATGATCAAATCGTACAGTAAATTGTTTAGCATTAATTTCTTGCATAATATTAAATAAAACTCTCCAACTTTAAAGACATATGATTATCATCAAATTCTAAAATATTATAATATTATAACATTAGTATAAAAATACCAAGTATGGTGTGAATAAAAACAATTTCGATACGTTTAATCACATGTATGTGAATCAAAAGTAATTTACATGAATAATCGCAAGTATGCGCAATTGTTTTTTAATTTTTTTGAAACTACGGAACATTCACTAAAAAAAGAAAAGGTTGCCTGAACTCGGACTATCTCGGAAATCTACTAAAATTAATAGTGAAGTTTGTATTTGTATATTTTGTTTTAATTTATGTAATTTAAATTAAAATTGTATATATCATAAAATTATAATTATAGATTGATTTTATATTTTAATAAACTTAAATAATATATAAATACCTCCAGGTAACGAATTCATTTTTTTTTTTTTCGTAAAAACGACTATACAACACAAAATATCAGCTAAGTACAAGCAAAACTTTTTGTACAGAATAATACCGACGTGCGTGACACATCTGTAATGCCATACTTTGAGGTATTATCGCAATAAAATTGATACTGATATCAACGTGAAATATTACGTTATTGCTTTAATATTATCTCTATTAGATAGACTATCAACAATTATCATTATAAATGCATTTTGAAATTTCCAATTTTGGCTAGGTTTTTATGAAAATATCCCACTGTGCGACGTCACCGTGCTATGCCGCAACCAAAAAACACACGTCCGATGGCACGGGAAAACGACGAGTCGGACGTTCGCAGAGAAAGTGTTGGCGGAAAAAAGTCCGACAGTAATGGCGTCCACGAACCGGTGATAATCGTAGCGCGATAACGCGCCGATCGAAAATTCTTGAACATCACACGCCGACACCGTTATCGAGTGTTCCGATTAACACGAAATGAAATAATTTGAACGGCGACGTAACACTTGCGCGAACGATCTCTTTTCGAATTTGATTATGTAAATCGCGCAAAACAAATTTATCCGTTACGTTCAACGCACTTGTGTGGGAACAGTGTAAACGAAATATGTTTAAATGTTTATGCGTCGTGCAAAGAGGTTGTGATGTGTGTGTATAAGATTTAACCGAAAATTTATGTTTTGTACGAACCGTGGTCATATAAACTCAGTAGTTTATAGGTCTATGAACCGTGGTATACATTAAGTTTCTGGTTGTGCTGCGCCAGCGCTCTTGGAAATGTCCACTTTATTACACGGTGTTATAGGATTTCCACTTTCCCTCCCCCACGCACTTATTGGGATTTCTACTTTACCGGCCGCCACTATGGGATTCCCATTTTACCGCCCGCTGGACGGATAAATGTGACATTCCAACGCTTCGACCGTGGTCGAAAACCAAACTTTCGGTACAGGTATGACAAAAATGTTTTACCTAGAGAGTCATATTTTAATTTCAATTACCGTTTACCTTTGTGTTTATCATTTCGATTTCTTTATTGTATAGCACTTACGAGTGTAACGAGAACTTTGAATGTCTGATGAAATTATCATTTAGGATGAAAGTAATTCAACAGTGGACGATCCTTTAAGTAAGGGAGCAGGTTTTGGAATTTTTCAAGATTTTCGTGGAGGATTGAATACTTTGCAAACGTTTTCAACGCCTATAATAATACACAAAAAACAGTAAAAAGTTAGTTAATAATTAAAAAAAAATAAATAAATGATGTCATAGTTAATAATACATCACATTTTAATAATACGTTAGTATGGTTAATAATACATTAGCAGTAATAATAAAAAATATCAAATAAATACATTATGAGTCAAGTTAAAATATTTTGAGCAATGCCTTTTAAAAACTGTTCTGTTGATCTTGAATGAAATTGTTCACAAATATTTTTTATTATTAATCCTAAATCTTTGTATTTTTTTTTTTTTTTTTTTTTGGATCATTACCTTGCAATAAACTGGTGAATTCTCACTCGATTCAATTTTTCCTCTTTTTTTAAAGGGTCGATAAATTTCTAAATTGAAGGATAAACTGCATTTAAAATTGATTTAAATTAATTAGTCCTATGTTTTGAATATGTCTTCATATAGATTGACAAAAGTGGAAAAAACATCCATTTATTTCCGTTTGAGGAAATACTTTTTTCACTGCATTTATTGTAGCTTGTTCATAATCTAGCATTAAAGAAATTGGATTTAATTCTGGTCTTAACTCTAAGATTTTTTTAAATAAACGTAAGTATATTTCTTTAGTTTTATTTGGAAGGAGTACAAAAACGGATGGCAAAACATTACTAAATTGTACACCGTGAATTGTATATAGCTGGTAGAAAATAGTAGGTGACGATTAAAAAGTACCCTCAATATACAAATGTTCACAATCAACCATCACATCAAGATTTTCCGTAGTTGAAATAATTAATATGCGTGGAATTTCTTGATTTTGTGAGTAACTATCATATAATAAAAATGGTTTACCATCCAATGTTGTAAACTCGGGTGGAATGATCAACTTCTTCAATGAAACTAGAATTGCTGGTGCCATTAATTCTTTTTGGCGAATTCGTTGAACCGTTTTTTTCATTAAATCAACTGTTGGTAATTGACCAGCAACCCCAGCAACCGCTTCAGTAACCTAAAATAATTGAAAAAATAAAATATTTATATATTTATATTATATATATGTAGATACGTATTAACTATAAAGTAACACGTATATTAAATATTGAAATTAAATTTATATTATATTTACCAGGAAAGAAACTACACCTAAAACTGCTTGAGTACTAAGTTCAGTATGTTTTGCCGTTGATTTTAAAAATTGCATTGTTTTTCTCGCTTCAATTTTTGAAATATCGGGTGTATGATTGTGTTCTTTTTCACTTTCTTTAATAATTTGACTATTCATCAAATTAATACGACCACGTCATTTTTTCGTATTACATTGGATACATCGCTCACTATTGTTTTTATCAAATCTATATAAATATCCGTTATAGCACAGAAAGTCTCGACCTTTTTGAATTTTAATCATTACCATTTTATAATCAAAATTATAATTTAAAAAAATTAAAATGTTTTATACAATAAAATGAATATTGTTCAGTATGCACGTGTAAAAATATGACATCAACAAATACCTTGTGAAGTTATCCAGCGATAAGAGCCTACATTTACTATACATTTACATTACATTTACTGCTGCGTTACCGTCGTTGGAATTTTATTTTTTCAATAACACCGTATCGATAACATTATCTGATTATCATCAAACATAAGGATTTATCTGACGGATTATATAAGTTATACGGGTTATATATTCGCAGACACTGCGAACAAATTCATTTCTAATTTCGTAATTTCATGTACAGCAGTTCTGTACTAAACTTTTACTCAATATATTATTACTATTTTATGACATTTTAGTTTAAATACAACTTAATTTAAAATCACTTTAATATTTTTTAAATGATATTAATCGAAATTACTACAATCTTTTTCAATATATCCTTTCCGATTTTTCTGTAAACTTATTATGATATAACATGGTTTTTCTAGTTTCGATGCAGTTTAAAAATTCCAAACCACATTTTTATTAGTTCCTAATTCAGGGTACCTACTTATAAGTTTCAAATTATATAAAAGTTATAAATACACTTTTTCTTTTTCTACAATTTTCATTATTTTTTTTTCGAATTGTGTATTATAAAATTTATTTAACTATTTTAATTTAAATTTAGCAATATATATAATTATTATAATAAAAATTGTGTTAACCTTTTATCAATGTTATCACCAGGGCTCGGGACTTGTAGCACTTAAAATCATTAAAATAAGCGCTTAAAAAATCACTTAAAAACATCATTATAAGCACTAAAAAAGCATTTAAAAAATTTAAAATTAAACAAAAATATTTATTAAAAAAAAAAAACTATAAAATTATAATTAAAAAACCAAACAAAATAAAAATAAATTTTCACTTTCAAGACTTTTAATGGATTTTTTAAGGGATTTTTTTGAAAAATAAAATGTAAACTGTTCTTTCTATTCTTGATCATTCTGATGTTTGACACTCAGTTCTATTTTCAGCGTTAGAATATTGTTATCTTTATAATGATACCTTGGACGACGACGAACTACGTGACAACGTAGATAAAATAAAAATTATTTTTAATTTTAATTCAATCAGAAATGACTGCAGGATAAAACTATATAAACGTAAAAAAAACTGGTCAAATAAGCAAAAATAATCAGAAAAACTGGAAATAAGCATTTTTTTTTAAAAATTGCTGAAAAAGCAAAAAAAGGCACTTTCAAATTTCATAATTGTACGTGTTATAACTTGACATACGCTTCTATAGCACTTTACTACATTTTAAGTCAATCCATAAAAATAAGCAAATGCTTTAACTCCCGAGCCCTGGTTATTACATTTTGATAGCTGCAAAAAACGGGGCTAAAACGTAAGCAATATTAAATACGGACACAAAAAAAAGTTTTCCTGCGAAGATCCATTCGTAATTTTCTTCTGCTTATCTATTATGTATGAGTCTATACTAAATTGAATTTGTTTAAGACGACATAGATTAATAATACTTAAAGTTATCAATGGTAATACAGAATATATTACTCTAGTAAAACCATTTACAAGAAAAATAAGAAGTAAAAGGAATGTTAGAATGATAAAGAGTAGGTATGTAAATAAGAACTGACCAGAGACATAAAAAATTAAAAGAGGTGGTTTTATAAATTAAAATAAATAAATCAATCAGCAGACTTTACCAGTATATCACACAAGGGTCGATAGTAGGTATTTTAAAAATAATTAACAATTAAATCTAAAATTGGAAAGAGTTCAAAATATATCAACCTAAATTTATAATATAAGGAAAGGGCAATATTATTATTCTACTTTATCATAGATACTACACTTTAAGATACACATTCAACATTCAAAAAATAAGAAAAATAAAATTACCAAATAAAATAATTTTTAAATAAAGGAATTTTTAACAATATTTAAAATACATTATAATAAATATGATTCCGATTTCAATGTATTTAAAAATTAAGTAAGAATATTGATAATGATATTGTGTACATGTATTTTTAAGTTAAGAGTATTAAATAATTGTAATTTTATCATTTATTGGTATATGCTAATATGACATACAATGTATGAGTAGAATACTATTATGAGACAATATCTACTTTAATAATTTTATGACATCATTATATTTTATTTTTAAAAACAAAATTAAAAATATAGCTGTTCGAAATCTAAATTCTGTATAGTATAATTATATAATATTGAGTTTTAGGTGTTATTATAATGGATCCCAAAATCCTGGTGGTGTTAAAGCGTGATGTTGATGCTTTACAGAACGATGTCTAGAAAAGTGATTCATTGCAGTTTTGGCTTCTACTGGATTGTCATTATTTGCTTTGTAAAACTTACTGCAATCTTCACAGTCCCAACCGTTTAATAATTTTCGTTCATTTTGTTTCCTTACAGGATCTTCTTTAAATTTGTAATTAGGTAAATCATTTTTTTTATCATTTAAACCAGGAATTATATCAAAACTATCTAATACATTAATATTAGGAATCTTAGTCTTGTTTATAGATGTTGTTGCAGTTTTTAAAACATTCATTGAAATATTTATTGGGCTACAAGAAGTTTCATTAAAAGTTTCATTACACAATTGATTTTCGGTTTGATCATGTGAAGCATTAATTTTATTTGATTCTAAAATATTTGTTTTTACTATAGGCAATTCATTTATTTTAGGTTTAATAATTTTATGGAAATGACTTAGAGAAATATTATTTGTATCTTCAATTTGTGTTGAATTGATAGTTGAATCAGTTAAATTGCTTTGAGAAACATTTATGGCTGCATCAGTACTTTTTACATTTAATACTTCGGCACTTAAATTAGAGTTTTTAGGCGTTGACATAGTAAAAGTAGTAATATCCATCTTCATTTTTTCTTTACAAGGTTGAAACATTAAGGTAGTTTGTTTAGACTTATTCAATAAATCTGAAGGATTTCCATCACGTTTAATTTGTAATTTCCATTTATTATCCTGAGAAGAAATTTTCTTTTCTTTTTCAAATTGCATTGATTTTATACTTTTTGAATCTTCATTCTCTTCAGTTTTCTCTTTAAGAGACAATTTGAGAGGTGAATATGAATAATATAGTTTCCTTTTTTTAATAGATTGAACATCTTTTTTTGAAAGTGATAAAAGTAATTGGTTTAGAATGACAATAGAAGATTCATCTTGATTTATTGTAATACTTAATGAATTTGCTAACTGTTTAACAAGATCATTGATTTGTTCTAATTGAGTTTTTAAACTAGAACTAAGACATTCTAGTTTATCAACTTTTAATTTATAATTGCTCATTTCGTCATCTTTTGAAATGTTATCCACAGTTATTGTTTTTATAAATGAACACACATTTTGACAAGCATTTGTTAATAATTGTATATGAATCTCGCCATTATTTTTAACATTCATAGTTTTTTTTTTTTTGTATATATATGTACCTACCTATACTAAATAGTGATTCTTAATTGCCAAGTATTATTTAACAGAAGATATTTTTTTTATAAAATCACAAGCAAATAGGAATTAAATACAATTTAAAAAATTAAACCGTAAAATCAAAGAAACTTAATACCAATAATTTGAATACGTTAAATGTTGAAGTTAATACGATTTGTACTATAAAGACAAAATTGCATATTTTCACAATTATTTATTTTTTTTAATTTGGTATCTACTACTGTTAAGAAATTAATAATTATTTTATCAGCTTATTCAATGTAACCAACTACGAGTAATTTATGAATTAATCTTAGGATTTGAAAATAATTAAAATATTATTGTTAAATGTATATTTATTAAAAATTTAATATAATAAAAATTATTTAAAATTGTAAATATTGTTATTTAAATACAAATTGATTTAATTTATGATATATTCTCTTGTGTTGCGTTGGTAGACGTGAAAATAGATAGGCGAACGTTGTTTGTAGTTGTAAATTTCTGTTTATTATTTTTTTTGCACTGGATTTTTTAGCTCCAGAATTTTAGTGTGGTTGCATACATTTTAATTTGATTTATAATTTAAAAGAATTTTCCACTATTTAACACTTAATACAAGATTGTTTTAAAATATTTTTCTGTTTGGTGTTTAATGGCTCTTGATGGAGATGGCGGACGATATACAGGTAAGTTTTTATCGCTTTGCATGATTTCATTTGCAGTGTTATTTTATACTATATTTTATGCTTACATGTTTAGATATATTGTGCATACATTTATATAAATATATGTAAGAAGTTATGAAAATTATTATATTTTTTTTAGCCAAGTTCCATAATTTGAGTAGGACTTTTTCTTTAATATATAAGAGACTTTTGAAAGAGTAAAATATAAATTAATTTTTTCATAATTTAGAATTCACGTGTTATTTAAAAAAAAAAATTAATTAAAATACATCAGATTTATTTTTAATACATGTATGAAATAAATGTGTATAATTATTGCAAAGAAATTATTATGGCACACATTTAATGGAAGTAATGTGTTAATGTCACAAGAAAAACATTTTAAAATTGTAAAGTATTGAATATTTGTTATAAATTATAGTTATATTTATTAGTTTTAAAATTTTTGGTATTGGTTTTCGGATTCTTAAATAATATGCATGTGTACAAACTCATATATTATGTGATGTATTATATGTATAAAAATAAATAGTTAGTAACAATTTCGAGACCTTTAAATGTATATGTTTTTATTCTAATTATGATACTTATTGAAGTTAAAATAATAAAATGCCTTTTTAACTGTTGTTTCTCCAATATTGTTTTAATATAATAGAATAAATAAATTCAAAAAATTATATGGTTACAAAATGCATTATATACTATTAAAGTGGAATTTTAATGTTATATTATAGTATATTTGAGTTTCAAAAATGGATAATCAATTTTGACAAAAATACTATTAGAACAATCTTTGTAGGTACACGCTATTTCTGTTTTATTCCTACAGTTAAAAAGTTTTTTAAAATTAAAATTTATTGTGTATGAAATACAAATATTAAATATTTTTGAGCTTAAAATATAATGTTGAAATAAATTAATGATTGTATATAATAATTCAATACTAATAATCATCAACTGATAGATGTGACAATTAAAGTATTTAAAGATAACACTGATCAAATATTTCTATAATATTTAAGAATTTAGATTAAACTTAAAAAAATATATAATTGTGATAAAAATAGTAATATAATTAGTTTGCAAGTTGTGTAGGTAGTAAGACTTCAAATATATAATACATTTTCATAAACATTAATTTATTTAATGTTTAGTTTTCAAGAATCATTCAGTATAAGTACTTAAATAATATGTTTAAAATATATATTTTGGTGTATATTATTTTCCTAAATAGATTAATTAATACAGTAATTGATGTTTTTTCATTTAGTAGATATTGCATTAATATAATTTATTTTTAGATTAGAAATTAATATTTGTACTTTATTTTATTAATGTTGGCATTTAAAGTATATCCTATAATATTGGTATTATTTTATATTCATATTTTTTTAAATTTTTTTTAATCATCTATAATTATTCTCTTATAGAAAGAATAATGTAGGTAATAATATGTTTAAAATGTTGATGTAATACTTATCAATTGTAATATATTATAGAGTATTCCACGTTTGGAGATGCTATGCAAACAAATGTACGAATCAAGAGATTCAACTCTTTGCGTAGAAGCCGAAAAAGCTTTGGTTTCTTTTCAAAATAGTAATACACCTAATACACTCTCTAAGTGTCAGTTGCTATTAGAACGAGCGGATTCACATTATTCTCAACTATTAGCAACCACAACTATAACTAAACTTTTATCTCGTACTCCATTAACTCTAAGCCTTGATCAAAGAATACAAATCAGTAAGTATATTTTAAACAATTATTACATCTTAAAAAAATTTTGAGCAAACTATTTTGCAATAGGAAATTATATTTTGAATTATTTGGCCACACGTTCCAAATTGCCATCATTTGTGGTTCAAGCTCTTGTATTATTATTTGCTAAAATCACTAAGCAAGGATGGTTTGATGGTGAAAAAGATTCCTATGCATTTAGAAATGTTGTATCTGATATTTCAGTATTTTTACAGGTAAACAATTATTTATATATTTTATTATTTTTTAAAAAAAAACCAGAAAGGTAAGAATGTTAGACAAATGAGATAGACTCTAGAATATTAAACAAAATATTTAAGTTCGTATCAAAGCATTATTATTAAAATTAAAAATTGCATATAATGTATATTTTTTATTTTTTTTTTTTTAAATTGCTTTGATATCCAAGGCCATTAGCTTCTTTGTAAGTTGTTTTCATATAGTAGGTTTTTTAGGTCGATTTATGTAACAAGTGAGCACATTTGATAATGTGGGAGGATTTATTTTCTCAAGAAAGTTATCCAACCAAAATGTCAATCTAATCATAATTTAGTTGCATATACATAATTATTTTTCAATTTGATTCTTATTTGTCTTTCAATTTATTTAAAATAATTTTTCTATTACTATAATAGTAGTATTTTTTATTTAATAATAACAATAAAAAAATCTAACTTTAAAATAATTATATCATTTTTTTTTCACTAAGGTGATTTAAGTAAAATAAGCAAATATCTATAAAAAAAAAATAAAAAAAATATCCACAACATTTTAATCATTATTTTAAAAATGTAATGATATTTTAGGGAATGAATGTTGAACACTGCATGATTGGTGTACAACTATTATCTCAGTTAACTACTGAAATGAACACTGTAGCTGATGTAGAGTCTCATCGAGCCGTGTTGAAACATCGTAAAGTGGCATCATCATTCAGAGATACACAGTTGTTTGAAATTTTTCGCATGTCTTGTCAAATGTTACGTAGTGCTAATGATAATCGAAAAAATTTAAATTTTACTGATGAAACACAAGTAAATTTTTACTTTATTAAAATATATTGTATTATATTTATAATTTATTTCATATTTTTTGTTTGTTTTAGCATGGATTTATGTCTCGTTGTCTACAGTTAGCTCAAAATTGTTTAACCTATGATTTCATCGGTACAACATGTGATGAATCATCTGATGATATTTGCACAGTTCAAATACCTACAGGTTGGCGACCAGCATTCCTTGAACAATCTACTTTAACATTATTTTTCGATCTCTATCATTCCCTGCCACCAAGTTTATCAAGTCTAGTAAGTAAAAGCTTTTACGCACCATAATAGAATAGCACCAATAAAAAAAATTGATGAATTTATATTATTTTTAGGCTTTATCATGTTTGGTGCAACTAGCTTCAGTTCGACGTTCCTTATTTAGTACTACTGAAAGAGCTAAATTTTTATCCCATTTAGTGAATGGCGTCAAAGATATTCTACTTAATCCCCAGGTATTTTGGTTATATAAAGAATCTCAATTATCCAGACCTTTATTACAAAAAGTCCTTTTTATCTAAACTGTTATTGAAGTATTCCAATGCTTTGTTATTGAAATTTTATATCCATTATAACATTCATACACATATTAGTAGTACATACATTTTATTGTTGTCATAATTTGTTATAAATTATATTATATATTAATATTAATATATTACATGTATGTATATATGTATATGAATTATTTATAAATAAGCAATTTGCAATCTGTTTATCTAAACTATATCTGGATACGACCAATGTATCCATACATTTTATATTATTTCCAGTATTATTCTTAGGTAAGTTCCAATGATCATCAAAGTTTTATTATTTAGTAATACATTATAAATCAATAACATTGATTTTTATGGTTATTTTTCCAATTTAAAAATAAAAAACAATTATTGTAATGGATATGTTTATTTTATTTAATATTTTATAATTATAATTAGACATTTTTTAAACAATTTATGATTTTTGCTAGATAGATTTAATATTTGTTAATATTCTTATATATTTATTGACTTAACCAGTAATTTTAATTTACTTAATCTTTATTTATATATGGGTTATGACTAAATTAACTATTCAAACTTGCATTATCAATTAAAATGTATGATTATTTTATTATATATATATATATATATATATATGTTTTCTTTAAAATTAAATATTATATCTTTATTTTACATTAACTATATTTATAAATGTTTGTTGATGGTAACCTCATATAATATTTAATGCGTTCTTTTCTTTTCTTGTATCTTCCTCTTCCATTAGTAAGACAAAACATACACCACTTTAAAATATTAAGATTCAACTATTAGTGTATTTTGACTTGTTTTATATTTATGTTGTAAAAATTATTTAATTGAATTCATAGGGTTTGGCTGATTCAAATAATTACCATGAGTTTTGCCGTTTATTAGCAAGATTAAAATCAAATTATCAACTTGGGGAACTTGTAATGATTGACAGTTATCAAGAAACTGTTGGTCTTATAGCTAAATTTACTGTTGAAAGCTTACAGGTAAATTTAATTTTTATAAAATTGAATTTAAAGATAGGATGAAGTTGTACTACTGAACTTTTAGAAATTTAAAAATTTGATTAATCTTATAAAAAACAAAAAAATAAATTGAAATTAAAGTAATTCTTGATCTAAATTAAAAGTACCAAATAAATAAATATGTTAGCTTTTTTCAGTAAAATGGTTATAATTTATGGAAATCAGTATTTAAATATTTTAATCTTATTGATTTATAGTTTTGGTTATGAAATTCAGCTTATTTTAATTTTGTGAATATAAAAAAAATTCTATTTTATTTTAATTTAGGTTAATTTTTTATTTTGTATTTTGTAGGTATATCAATGTGCTCCAAACAGTTTTCATTATTTGTTAAGTTTTTGGCAGCGAATGGTAGCTTCTGTACCTTACGTAAAAGCTGCAGAACCTCATTTATTGGAAACTTACACTCCAGAAGTTACAAAGGCTTACATATCCTCCAGAATAGAGAGTGTTACACTTATTGTGAGAGATGGACTTGATGACCCATTAGATGATTTCACCAATGTTCAACAACAGCTAGAGCAATTATCTGTGATCGGTAGATGTCACTATCAGAAAACATGCTCATTAATTGCTCAGTTATTTGATCAATCAGCTACTACTTATCAAGAAATTATTGCTTCACCTTCTGCTTCTATTTATGATCTAAAAATACAAGAAGGTAGGATAAATGGAAAACTCTTTTACATAAAAATAGATATTAAGTATAAATTGTTGATCAATATTTTAAATACTCAATTTATTTTTATTTTAATAAAATATTTAACTATACATACATAAAAGTTCTGTCTTTACCTGACATTGTATAGTTTTATTTTGATTTAGTTTATTATTTAACATTGTTGATCTATTTTATCTTGTGTTATATTACCCCACAGTATATTGTGTTGCGTTAGAAAATGATTTTAATGTTAACATTTCGAAATAAACTATCAAATTATGCTTATTTTAATTTAGGTCGTTTGACTTGGTTGGTATACTTAATTGGAGCTGCAATTGGAGGTCGAGTTACATTTAATAGTAATGATGATGGAGATGCAATGGATGGAGAAATGGCTTGTAAAGTTCTACAGTTAATGACATTTAGTGATTCAAGACTTCCACAAGGAGGTTACGAAAAATTAGAACATTCATTTTTATTTTTCTTTGAACAGTTTCGAAAAATTTATATTGGTGATCAAGTAAGAAAAATATATTATATAAATTATTTTAAAATTTATTTTTTATTCATATAATTAAAATAAAAGTATTTGTAATTATATTTGTAATTTTTTTCAATTGTTACTTATTTATAAAAAAAATTACTGTGTGCTTCATTTGTTTAGGTACCCAAGAATTCAAAAGTTTACCGTCGATTACATGATGTACTTGGTATTAGTGAAGAACACATGGTTCTTAGTATTTTTATGAGAAAAATGTAAATTATTTTTATGATAAGATAATTTTAATATAATATTAATAATATTTTAATTTTTAGTATAACAAATTTGAAATTTTGGTGCTCCAGTAATACAGTTATTCAAAAAACATTGGCATTATTGAATGATCTTTCAGTTGGTTTTTCTAGTGTCAGAAAACTAGTAAAACTTGATGAAATTCAGTTCCTATTAAACAATCATACAGTATATTAACATTTATATATTTATTTTTAATTTAAAAATAGTTAAATAATTATAATACATTTTTTTTATAATAGAGTGAACACTTTCCTTTATTAGGAAATACATTTAGTGTAAAAGATATGAGACATCGATCATCATTTTATACTTCATTAGGTAGACTCCTTATGATTGATTTATTAGAAGATGAAGACAAATTTGATAACTTTATGATTCCTCTAACTGGTAAATAAAATTTATGTGTATTATTTATCATATTATATTTAATTAAAATAATTTTAATACATTTTAATTTTTATCCTAGCATCTGTTGAGTCTATAGGAGCCTTATTAGCAACAGTTAATGGTGTAAATGATACATCCGTGTATTCTAATATTGAAGCTAAGAAAGCTCTAATAGGCCTTATTAGAGATCTTAGAGGCTTAGCTTTTTCATTCAATACTAAGACATCTTTTATGTTACTTTTTGAGTGGTTATATCCATCTTATACCCCAATTTTACTTCGCGCAATGGAACTATGGTATGCTGATCCAGAAATTACAACACCTTTACTAAAACTTTATGCAGAATTAGCATTAAATCGATCACAAAGACTTCAAGTGGATGTGTCATCTCCAAACGGCATTTTATTATTTCGTGAAGCTAGTAAAGTTGTTTGTACTTATGGTAAGTGTTTCTTTTATTGAAATTAAAAACCAAATGTTAAATATAATTGTCTACAGGAAATAATATTTTAAACCTTGATGTTCAGCAAGATATGTTATATAAAAAAAAATTGAAAGGAATATCTATTTGTTTTTCAATGTTAAAAGCAGCATTATGTGGAAATTATGTGAACTTTGGTGTTTTTAAACTTTATGGTGATGATACATTAGAGAATGCACTTAACATATTTGTTAAATTATTACTATCCATTCCACTTAGCGATCTTATGGTAAGTTATTTTAAATTAATTGTATTTAATAGTATAATGTGTTATTTTATATTTTATACTATGACTTTAAATTAATAATTAAACCATGGTTTTCCTTATTGGATGTTTCTTATAACTTGCTATAAAAAAAAACTAAAGTTAAATGTGTAATATATCAGTTATTTAAATTCTAATGTTTAAAATCATTCACAGACTTAATTTATATATATATATATATATATTTTCAAGTTTTAATATTTATTTTTCTTCAGTGTACTTTTCGCTGTAATTATTTTTAGATGGTGTAAATACTTTATTTTATGTTTTTATACTTTTGATACTCAACACCTTGTATTTATCACATAAAACTTTGGTCGTATTCAAATTTTAAACACAATTACCATAAATCAATAATTATTAATTTTCAATTTATAGAATTACATTCAATAGATCATAAAAAATTGAACCCAATGTCTTATATATTACTTGCTGACCCGACAAATGTTATTTTGTCATAAAAATTATTTCTAGAAAATATTTTGCTAGAAAAAAATAACTAATTTAATATAAGTGTGTAAGGATATGGTATATAAGTGGAAGGGATATTGAGTGCTGTGAATGGTGACAAAATATAAAAATGAAAAATTTTTGCAATGCCAATCTAATTGGAAATTGAAGGCATTTTAATTGTATTGGCACATCTGTGGATATAATAGGGATTCGCGGTAATAATATGTTTTCACCTCGGAATTTGCCATTTGAAATAATGCCCTTGATAACATTTTTCATTAATTTTTTAATGACTAATCGCGTGCCGTTACACAACCGTGGTGGGTTCAAATTACAAAGCAAAATAACCGGAGATCCAATCTTCAGTTGTAAATTATGCCGTAGCTTGCCTGGTAAATCCAATGAGTTTAAAAACTGTTAGATAATTTACAGCTTCAGTAGCATCGCAAACTGTATCAATAGATTTGTATGACACCAAGTCTCCTGGTAACAAATGTTGTATCTTGAGATTCAGTTCGTTGACGTCCACATTTTTTGCTGCTGAAATTGCTCTTTCTGCCAGCCACTCATGATTTGTGTATTGTCTGTATACATTGAGAAATATCTGGTCAATGAGAACATCTTGCGAATCAATGATTAATCTGTAGTAACTTTCCCATCATCGATATCTAACAATTGTTTTGAGAACCTTCCGCACGCAGCTTTTTTTAATTGAATCGCAAGTATCGAAATCGTTCGCTCTCTACCTTAACATACATGTCGACCATGAATTGTTGACAAAGCTCATGACATCATAGAGTGTCCTAACCTATCATCAATCGATATGCATAATAATCTTTCGAACTCGCATTCTTGTTTATTTTGGCACCTGTTGTGGGATCTTGTTTAATATTTATGCAATACCTGTCATTTTATACCAAAAATAAAATTAATAGTTTTTTAATAGTTTCATTTAATAATTTATTTTCAATTGCGCAGTTATTGACCAGGTCAATAATTATTAAATTTAACTATGATTTATTAAACAATAGCACTTTTCCAAAATGTTTTTTCGTAAAAACCTTCTCCTGGCAATTACAAAAAATTAAAAAAAATTTGAGCCAAATCATCGGCCCAGCAATTCTCAATTGATGAAATGTTATACATTTTTGGCTCCATTTTTATATATATATATATATATAGATTATTTGCAATTTTTATAATTATACTTTAAAATGTATTTATTCCTTATTCATATGATATTTTATCATTTTATATTAATTTACAGCATTATCCTAAATTATCACAAACCTATTATGGTTTGCTTGAGTGTCTTGCTCAAGATCATATGGAATTTTTATCAACTTTAGAACCTCAGGTATTTTTATACATTCTTTCATCCATTTCTGAAGGATTGAATGCATTAGGTAAGTTGAATGAAATACAGAAGTTTATTTGCTTAAAAATTAAATGATATATTAAGTATACTTATATTAGAACCTTCATTATATTTTATTTTTAAATAATTTAAAAAAATAATGTAAATTCAATTTTTATTTATATTTACTTATAATAAAATTAAGTTGGAGTTACTAAGAACCTCAGAAGCTTGTAAAACAGAAAAACAATATTCTTTATTTATTTGATTTACCTATTATAGGTATTGAGTTATATTTTAATATGAATACTTTACTTCAAATTAATTTTAAGTTTATATTAATAAATGTTTACATTTTATTTCAGTTTTAAATGTATGACAGTAGGCTAAAAAGTAATGCACATATACTTGTAGAACATGAACAAAATAACCTACCGAAGCACGCTTGGTGGCATTCAAAAGTCACTCTTCCCCTTTTATGCGCATGCACAATTTGAAAGCATTACGTTTGCCAGCTGGTTTTAAGTAGCGGAAGTATTGAAACATGTTCTAGTGCTATATCAACGCGAGTTAAACAGTGTGCTGTTATCAAATGTTGAAAAGTTGAAAATATGACTCCTATTGAGATACATCGCTCTGAGATACACATTTTTCGAATATTCCAATATAGTTCGCAATTCGTTTTTGGATGATTCACTGGTTACTTTGAATCAAATTGTCAACAAGTTGGAGATGTTTATCGTCTGTGACAGAGATTGGACATCCGCTCCACATTTTATCATCAATTATGGCTTTTCCAAACAACCACAACATTTTAATATCCATCGCTTTACAGTAGATCTATCAACAGTATCGCCACCATAAACAGCCTTTAAACGGCGATGTACCTCAGTAAGAGTCATGTTTTTAATTGTTAAAATTTTGATAATGTTTCAATGCTACCACTGCTCAAAACGAACTGGTAAATTATACATTTTCAAACTGTTGCATGCTGCATATAGAGAGGGGAAATAACTTCCAAATGTCATCAAGCACACTTCTATAGGTTATTTTGTTCACATTTTACTAGCGTATATGAATAATTTTCAGCCCACCCTCATAAAACGACTCAATAGTACACTTGAATATTGCCTTTTTCCATAAGTTTTTTTTTATAAAATACTTACTCAACAAAAATAGAATCTAATTTTGAAAATTCATATATTTTTTATCTTTCACATGCATAGTTGTACTGTTATTGAATTATTGAAGTTTTTACTTCTTTATCTACTTATTACCTGATATTTGAACTTAGGCTCTTTAAACTATAGAACAATGTACTAAGCCAGCAGTTTCCAAACTTTCTTTCCGCGGTGCCTTCTTTGGACCCAATCAAGCCACGGTGCCCTGGCTGTGAATAACATTAAAAAAAGAATAAAAAGAAATCTATTGATAACCGATTTTATTAATTTTAATACAATTTTACTTAGTTATAAATTAATGCACTTTTAAACTTAAAAATTATTGCTATTATGATTATAATTATTATATAAAAGTATTATACGGTTAAAATGGTAATATCCGATTTTACAATAGAAAATATTACATTATTTGCTATAAAGTTTTTACGAAAACTATAAGGAAAAATCAATTTTATGCGCTTTAAACTATTTGTTATGAACCGTAGACCGCGGTGCACGGTTTAGGAACCGCTGCACTAAACATAATTAATTTACTTATTGAATATTAATTACATTTCTTGATAAAGTTTTAATTTATAACATTCAGAAGTAAATATATTACTAACATTGTATTTGTTCTTATTCAATGTTTAGATGTATCTTAATATAGATAAGATTTTTTAATAATGAAATGTTGTTTTGATAGATAATTTAATCAACAAACATTACTGTACTCCTACTTTTTATAGTTTTCAATATTTTATTTTTATTTCATGAAATAACATATACTTGATAAATAATTTTATTAAAAGTTCTATGTATTACCTATTCTAATTACATTTTTCTTTTCATGTTTTTTTTTTTTTAGATATGTCTATATGTACTGGATGTTGCACTACTCTTGATCATATTGTTACTTATGTATTTAAACAGTTATTACTAAAAGGTAATTATTTAAAAAGAATAATTAAGGAAAATAGGAAAATAATTTTCAAATATTAATTTTTTCTTATAATTATATGGTTTAGAATTTAGATTAAATTTAAAATTATTTATCAATTATAATTTTTAAACATTAAGATTATTTGTTTTTCATTATTCTTTGTTTTCTTCTTCACCTTTCTCTCTACTATTTAGGGTTGGCCACCCTTGTCTTAAACTTCTTTCATCTTGATTCTCCACGTTCTCCACGCCAACAGCACTCATACATTTCAACATTTATTTTTGTAACCACTCTTACTGCAACTCTCATACTATGTTCTATTCTTCTCTTAATCGCCTATCTTACTACACTCCTTGCCTTACATCTTAGATTCTATCTTAAATCTTACATCAAACGTCCATCTTATTAAACTCCTGTAAAATTTACCTTTCAGCCTCATTAGAAATCTCTTATCACATAACATGCCTGACGCTTCTCTATATTTCATCCAACCACACTTAATTCTATGTTTTACACCCATGTCAAAGCTCCTGTCCTTTTGTACAAATGATCCTAAATATTTAAAGTTCTTAAAAATTAGTTTTATTTACTTTATTTAATTAAATTATCGTTGATGTACTATTTTTAAAAAAAATTAAAAAAAATATTTTTTATAATTTTAAGTATTAAATTATAATAATTCAAATGATTTATACAAAATTTGCATTTATGTAGGTAAAAAAGTAAGACGTCGTATGCAACAAGTAAATGAAATTTTCTTACGTACTCTAGAAACTCATTTAGGTGTTTTTAGACAAATTTTACAGACTGTTCTTAACATAATAATATTTGAAGAATGTAGAAATCAATGGTCAATGTCGAGACCTCTTCTTGGACTTATATTACTTAACGAAGAAGTATTTATCATAGTTTATTCTGATATTAAAATATATTAAAGCTAAATCTATGTTTTATTTGTTTATTCCTGTAGTATTTTAATCAGTTAAGAGATATTATCTTGCAAAGTCAACCAATTGATAAACAACCAGCAATGGCTCAATGGTTTGAAATGTTAATGGAAGGAGTTGAAAGAAATTTAGCAAGCAGAAATCGTGAGAGGTATAATAAATATCTATAATACGAAAAACAAATAACTAGAATGTATATTTATTTTACTAGGTTTACTCAAAACTTGTCATCATTCAAAAAAGAATTGACTGAAAAAGGATCAACAATATCTATGAATTCTGTTAATAATGAAGTTATGATTACTACATAACATATTAAATTATTTAAAGTGTGTAATTTTATTTCTGATTTATTGTCTTTAAATGCCAATATCAATATTTTAAGAAACAACAATGGTTATTTATTTATTCATTATTTTTGAACCATGTAAATAAAAAAAATAATTTAATCTTTGTAAACAATTGAAATTAGAAAATAGGGCCTACCTCCTAGTCATAGGCTATTAATGGAAATATTTTTGATCATTAAATGATTACTACATAAGTGCGATTAAGATAAATTCAGCTATTTATTTAAACCATGTAAATACATTTTATTATTTTTTACTGATACTGAAAAGTGTTTGATATTTTATTTATGAAAGGTAAGTATCTAATACGTTTAACACCCATAATAACCTATATTTTTAAATTGTCTGTAAGTATACAAAATTAAACCCATGCACAAGGTTATTATACTTATAATTTCAAAATAATTGAAATTTGTCAAGAAAAATAAATTAACGTCCATTATTTATTATATACAACCTAAATAATTATTATATTAGAGCATAGAATTACTTCATAGTTTATTCCATGCTCCTATATATTTATAGATTCACCATTAAGTTTATGTTGTTTTTTTTATCATTACTAAAAAAAAAAAAAACCAACAGAATATGCAAGACTATTATAATATATCAATAATTAAAAAATTTTAAATTTGATACTGGTGTTTTTATATTCTATTACTTGTTTTATGTATTACAGCTTAGAATAAATTATAGCTTACATATATTCAATAATAATATGTATAAATATTAACTACAGTTAACTATCCATTTTTATAGTATATATATATATATACTATTTTCTAGTCATTATTCATTGCTTTATCTGTTATTAATTATGATTAAAAACTCAAAATAGAATAAATGAAGTCCATCACAAAAATTAGTTATTTATTCATATTTTTTTTTAAATTTAATAAAAGAAATTAACTGTTCATCATTTTTAAATTTCTGAAAATTTTTATTTTTCTTAAATACTGTATCTCACATTTACATCTTTAATATTTAAAAATTAATTAGTGCTTAATAATTTTCTTCATTATAATATCATTGTATATATCATGACATGTGTTTTTTTAATTTGCGTACATAATTTCAACCAAGAGGTTCTTGGTATTTTTAATAGAAAACATTTTCTAATTGGTAAACTTAGATAGTTATTTTCTGAATTTCAAAACAATTTTCCAAAAAAATTTTTTTTGAGTAAAAAAAAAATGTATTGAATCATAAACGAAATCCATTTAGCTGGTTTTTCAAATGTTTGAATACTCTTGAGAAATAAGAGAAAGAATGATTACCAAATATACCAACTTAATAACATTTTCTATCAGAAACTTTTTTTGTAATAATCGAAGTAATCCCTTTTTTCAAAATCTTGAGGGACTTAGAATAATATAATCATGCCAAATCATGATGAAATTAATTTATAAAAATAGAAGTTTTAATAGAATATATTAACTTATAAATATTCTTATGAAACCAGTTCCATACATTTTACTTACCATTCTATTATTCTACTTAAAAATAATCATCATATTGTTACTATGAAAGGTATTTTTAATAGAGTAAATAAATAATATTTTTAATTATTTGTTGTAATTTCATTGTAGTAAATTGTAGAATTAAAATGCTCAATTGGTCCCATAAATGATAACTATATTTTTTATACTTTTTGTAAATATTTTCTCAATATTTTGTATCATATTGTATTATTTAATGAATAATTCAATAATTGTAAATAATAAATGGGTTATTTCATTAGTTTTAATTTAAATTAAATTATTTTATAATCAACATTTTTATTTATTTTTTTAAGTATAGTTATTTCTGGGTTGTAAATGTACAGTACACATTTTAGTTAAAAAATTAGCCAAAAAAAGAATTGCCTAACTGATGGTTATTCATTTTTTTCATAGTTTTTCTAAACAAAACACCTATTATTGCAATACAGATGATTTAGTCCAGAAATTTTTTTTTTCTTTATGGATTTTGATTCATAAACAAATTGTTTTTTTAATTTTGTTTAATTATCTAATTTAATGAGTTTATAATAACTTGTATATGTACATTTGGTAAATCAAATAACTAAAGAATTTACAAACTTAAATTATTTATTTTCTTATTCTCATTTAATTCTTACATTTAAATTATATTAAATTCTATCTCTGATTTTGATAAACAGAAATAAAATTCCCATATTCACGAATAAAAATAAAAATCTTTGTTTATAAGAATACAAATAGAATCCAAAAACGTTTAGTGACGTATTAATGTAATATATATACAAATGCTTAAATATAAGTTTTCTCAATAAAAAATAAACCCATAAGATCCAAAAATAACAACTTTTTTAATCTTATGATAATAATAGTGAATAAATATGTTTATGAATATAATTATCACAGTTTTACAGTAATTAAATTCGTTATTATCCATTACATTTTTGTAACATTATATAATCTATATCAATATTCAATAATTAAATTCAAAAATAAATTTAAACAACAATTAAACTTTAGTTTCTGTATGTTGAGAAAGCGCAACTTCTCGCAGATTATCATTAGTAACATCAATTATACGTGGTCCAGGTCCATATTGATTATAATCATTTGTATCAATACATCGAGATTGCATATGTCTTCTGTCCATTTCAAATAGTAATGCAGATCTTGAAAAATAATTATTCTTACATACATTTTCTCAATTTAACATTTTATTATAAATATAGTAATTAAATATTACAAATTTTTTATGACTAAATTATTATCACAATAAAAATCCACTTTACTACATATAAAAAAAAAAAAATGTAGAGTAATATCTATTACAGGGTAGCCGTCTGAAAAAATCAAGAGAAAAGGGAGTATTCAAGTATTGTCAGCATATTTTTTAGTAATTTTGATTACAATGATGTCACAATTCCATAGCAAATATTTGGTTTTATAGTTATAGGTCACAGCCAATGTATATTTATAGAAAAGGGTAATCTTTTAGAAAAACTTTTCAATTACAATTTCTATTAAAGAAATTTAAGACCACTATTAGGCTCTTATATTATATTTTTACCACCAAAAAGAGCATATTTTACATTTTAACTAATTTTCATTTACGTTATTATCATAATTATTACAAACATTTAATCTGCATATTTCTGATATTTTATATAAATCAGTTAAATTTGTTATTATAGTCTTTAGGAGTTATGTTCAAAATAGAAAAGTTCATGAAAACTTCTTTTCTTTCTACTCGACTTAATAAATTAAATATTAAATTAATAGTATAACAAGACAGCTATTTGAATCATGAAGGTTTTGTTATTTAAATAACTTCAATAAATTTAATTATTAAAGCAACAAACCTATAAACTTCGTAGCGCATAACAATCTCCTCCAATTCTTGTTTATATAAACGAGTCAGCATAGCATTGAAACAGTCAAGCTCTGGAAGCCGAAACATTTCCCATCTGAGTTTATGATCTAATGTTTGTGCAGCTTGAGAATAAACACTAAGCCAAACAGGAATTTCTAAAAAAAAAAAAAAATTATTAATAAATTTTAAAATGATAATCTTAAATTGTATTACAAAATTATTTTCACCTTGATTTAAGTAAGGATTAGCAGGCACAAGCATATTATGCGGATGGAAATGTGTAGGTCTTGGTGGTGGTGGAGGGGGAAGTGGCAATGAAATTCTAACTTCGGGTTGATATACATAGTGTGGTGCACACGGATGTTCATATTGTGCCTGTCGAGTAATATGACTAAAAAAAAAAATTAAAATATTTATTGAAATTTTTTTTTCTATTTTTTCTTTCTTTGAAATAAAAGAAAAGAAAATTTATGTTTTACAGAAAATAGTGATGGATATAGGATATTAATTAATTTATATTTTTTCTAAATAAATATAATATTCTTATGCAATATTTTTATAACACTAATTTTTTCATTAATGAAATTCACTATTACAACTAATTATATTTGAATAGTATTTTTCTTAAATTTTATTTAAACTCACTTAACAAAATATACTCCATAATCATTGCTTTCAATACGTTCCCATCCAGTAGGAAGTCCTTCTTTTTCTAATGGATGTGACCAATGTGTAGTTTTTGTGTTGTGATCAATATAATACTTACGTCCCCTCAAAGTTAAGTCTATGGACCAACCAGGTGGTAAAGGAAGTTCTTCCCCTCCTAAGAAAAAAAAAAGGAAATCAATAACTCAAAAAATTAATTATAAGACCATAAATCGAACCCGAAATTTCTAGCTAACTGAATATATTCTCTCTAACTTCTAACTTAAAAGCATCATGTTTATCAATATCACTTATTTCTAATTCTTAATATTAATATCCAATAAATAAAATGATGATCCGCATTTTTTTTTTTTTTTTTTTTTTTTTATTCGTTTATATGAACTAACAATAGTAAAATAAAAATATTTATATTTAACCATAGAATATCAACATTTTTGTTGATGTAAAATAATGAGGCCAAATAAAATTTTTTTTAGATCAAATTATTTATTTATTTATTACTCTTTTTCTTTAAGTGTTCAAAGTAATAATGGATACTTAAGTATGATTTAAAATAAATTCATAATAGTTTATCATTTTATTTTATAATGAAAATTTTAAATACATTTTTGAGGAATCTGTAACTTCACACAAAATGTAAGTCCCTAGGTAAAAAAAACTATTTATTTAAATTTATTTTGTTACTATTCTTAATATTTAAATTATAATTAAATAATGTATTACATAAATATTGAAAAATATATGCTAATATTAAAATATATATAATAAATATTAATAAAATAGTATTTACCTGAAGGTAAAGGTATTGGTACAGATTGTCCAATATTGTGTAAAGCAGGAGTGGAATGATGGGTATTAATAATTTCACTTTTATGTTGTAGTTGAATCTGAAAATTTGATACAGTACAAATATATGAACAATCTCATTAAAATACATTTATCTGACACTTAAATGTATAAATATAAACTTTTTAACGGCTTAAGTTAAAAAGTTTCATCTAGTACTATCAAATAAAAATGATTTACAAAATTAAGTATACATTAAGTATAATTAAGTAGCATTTTAGTATATTACATATATATAAAAGACAAAAGAGATGCTCAGATTGACAGACAATCTTATAATAAAACGGATAATGATAACATATTGATTGGATCAACTGACTAGTAAACATTGCAACTACAAACTATGTAAAGACAACATGAATATTCTTATATTGAATTTTCAAATCTCAAGTATAGATATTGTAATGAATTTTGAGAACAAAAATGTATTAAATGTTTGTCATTTTTTAGGTTTTGTCAAAATTTAATAATCAAATGTTTATAATTTTTTTAAATTTAATTAAATTTTTTTTATTAACCAATAAGAAAAATGTATGAGGAACTAAGTAATACATTTTCATGACTTTGTAAAAACAAAATAAATTTTTCAATATTTTATGAAAAAAGTTTTAATCTCTTGAAAATTATTTCATTAAGGCCTGTCGCTGACATGCAATTTTCAACAATTTAATCGCATTAGTGGCTTTCACAGCATTAAATAATGATAAGTTCACATGCAACAGTTTGAATAACTAATTAGTTTGTGTTTTGTCATAAAGCATTTGATTGTGCTATTACATCCTATCCATACATTCATCCATACATACTATCATTACATCCTATCATGGTTTAGTTGTATTTGTGAGCATGGTTATGATGAAACTGATGGGCAACTATCATTCAACTGAAAAATGCATGTCAGCAATTAGCCTTATAGCAAACAGTGATATAAGACAATTTTCTCAAAAGTATATTCCATGAAACACTATTAAGGGTCCCACAATATGTATGTGTATATTAAGAGTAGTAGTTGTAATAAACAATAATCATAGACTATCTTAAAAATAGTTTTTGTAATATTGATTTTTCAATAAATAATTGAAAATTGGAGTTGAGTTGGAGTTATAAACATTGAAGTTCCACAAAACCCAAAATATTTCCTAAGGGTTCCTTGGTTGTTAAAGTTAGAAAAAACTGCTGATACTCGTATAAGCATTTAATGAAAATTTCAAGTTAGTGATTTTTTTAGTTGCAATGAAAATAAAAATTAGTTGTTGTCAAAAACTTGTATGCCATAAATATTTTAATATTTTGTAATTATTCGGAAAACTGTTCAAAAATTTTAAAAATTACCATTACAGAATATCAACTAGATACCATTTCCTATCTTTAACATGATAGTGATAATCAGAATAATTATTTTGATTGAAATGATGTACACTAAACCAAAACACAACATTTTAAAAAAAATATACATCACATTCTTTATTTTACACAAAATCTTAAAATTGAAATAAATACGATTCTACAATACACATGTATGTTAAAGCTTTATAAAAATGTTGTTTATTAATTGGAAGAAACCAAAATTTAGGGCTAAGAAGTTATACCAAATTAAGTCTTACCTATCTAACTTATCCACCAATAATTCTACTGCATTTCAGAATCAATTAGTAACTTCCACCACCTTACATATTTGCAAATCATTCAAAATAATAAACAATTATAGTAATAACTGAACAAATCCCTCTGGAAAATGTGTCAATCTAATTACTATATTTTATAAATGACATTGTTTCTCATAAAAATCCTATCAACTATATTTATGAATGTAACATTTAAATATAATAATAAATATAATAAATAATAAACAAATAGTTCAAACATAGAAATAAATAAATAAATACTTAGTCTAAAGTATTATTATGTTTGAAAAGTACGAACCGGTTTTGAATTAAAAATTCATCAAAAGATACATATAAAATTAATAAAATTGCAACTGAATACAAAAAGATTAAATCACAACTTTATTACTTTATTTTATTTTTTATATTCAGTTTCAATTTTATTAACTTTGTATATACTTGATGATGAATTTTTAATTCAAATCCAGTCTTTTTTTCTTTCTTTTCTTAGCTTACCGGTCCATTAAAGAAATAAAAAGAAACTAAAAGGAATTAAGGAAATCGATAATAAGTCATATTTTATAAATATAATAATACTCCAGACTAAGTTTTTATTCATTTATTTAATAGGAAAAGAGGTACTGATTTAGTTGTCGCCCGCCTATTCGCATATTCTCCTACTACTAGGTATTTAAAAATAATAATAATAACACAAAAAATAAAAAAGTACGAACAATTATATTAAATATTTTATTCATGAATAATATTATAAAATAAACGTTAAAATTAAAAATAAATAAACTTATAAAGGTGACTAAAATTCGGATACATCTTTCAGTATTTTCTTAAACGGATCACGTCCGTTTAATTTAGTGCGCCACATAAACTCTGCCGAATATGAATCGAGGACATTTTTTTTTAGTCCCTCTTCGCTTCTTGTATCCCCATTTAGAACTTTCTCACATTCTCTCAACATTCTGAGTATGAACTCCACTTGTAGAATCCACACAATTATATTTGTGGTTTACTGTTGAGTGATTATAATCTCCGATTTTTAAGATATTATTATAGGCTCACCAGGAATCTGATAAAATGGTCGATCCAACTCGAATACGTTCATAAATTATTGGCATTAACGTATTTTTCTACCAATCAGATACACATACGACGAAGCACTCCTTGTTCTCATGACATATGTCACCAAAAACCCATTACTGCGGCAGTATTCGACCTGCATTATTTTTACGCCTGACAAATAAATTTTTGTCAATTTCAACAATAACCTAACTAGCACCTCCTACTTTTAAATCGCCGCGAGTAGTTTTCCATACACATACTTCTTTAATATAATTGTTCCAACCAACTACAGTAGCTTTGCTCAGTCCAAATTCACGTTTACAAAAGTTCACCAATGTAAGTTCATGAGCCCAACCATAAATAAAGTGAACAATAATTGGTAACTTTACCTTTGTACTTTGTTACCAATTATTAGTCTTAACACCTTAGTCTTTTCGACGTGATCTTAAATGACATCACTACCGGTATCTAAAACCATTTCGTATTCATTGTCACAAGTCCGAGTCGTATGAATAATATTTGCATTTCGCAAAAAAAAATATTGCCGATGAATCATCATGCATGTCACTATAAATTTGTCGAAAATTCATGTTAAATTTTAGTACCGCGGTATTACATATATGATTTAGGCACTACAGAATATTTCAGTATGACGACGACTGTATAACTAAAGTAGGTACTCTATAATATTATACACAGTACCACTAACTTATTAATTACACCTAACTTATTAATTTTATTTGAAGGATTTTACCAAATATTTTTAAAATATCCAATAATTAAATCTAACGTACATATATAAAGATAATACCACGGTTTTTCGTACCTTTTTTATCTGCAGTATAATAGAAAATACAAGAAATATTAGTGGTAAACGTTAACTAAACTTGAGTGGCGGGAGAATACGCGAGTTGGCGGGCGTTAACTAAACCAATACCATTTATTTCTATATAATATATAAATAATTTCTTTATTTATTTATGTATTAAATTACAAATACTAAGCATTTAATAATTTTTAATTTTTATTTTTTATTTATTATTACATTGTTATTTACATACAATTTAAAATTACTAATAATCAAATAATCACTTATTTTTAATTACTTTATGGGAACTCAACTGAAAACAATTAAACAAAAAAAATCTGAAGAGTTATTAATATAACCTCTTCAAGCTAATCATATAGATTTTCTTTTTCTTATCAAGTACAAAAAATGTATTTTAAATAACAGGTTATGAATAACATTTTTAGATAAAAAAAAAAAAAAAAGGGAAACTCGTAGATTGGGTAACATTTCATGGTTGAATGAGATGCAGTGAATAATATTGCTGTAATGGTCTTTTAAATTTAAAATTGTTCTCTAAAATTGTTTAGAATTGTTCTCAAAAAAAATCACTAGTATGTAAACTAGGTACCAACTGAAATACCTATATTAATTTCTATCACTTGAGGTGTAATATGACATTATACCTACATATAATATTTGAAAATAAAACAATTTTTCTTTCTTCTAAGTATAATAACTAGAGTTAGTTAGGCTTTGAAATAGTTGCACTTACAGCTATTTTCCTACTGTTTTGATTTATTGCTAGTAGGTTATAAATTTCTTTCTTTGGCATTTTTCGATTTGATTGCAATATTATTGATTTCATTAATTTAAAAAACAATTGTAGATACTTTTAAATATTGTTCAAATGATTTAATTTTACTTAAAAAAATAAAATAATGAAAGAGGACATCTCAGATATTAATATATATTAGAATAATATAATAATGAGGAGGAGATGCTGTACCTTCCCGAGGTTTCCTCTGTAAGTAGTGCTTCTATAGCCAAATTATCGAAGTGAATACCTAAATTAAATGAAAGAAGCACGAAACGAAACAACATCAACCCGACAACCAGACGTCCTAGGACTTCCTGGCTATATCGGCGAAAAAAACCCTTTTAATAGCTACCCTTTCAATATCAATTGCAAACTATATGCAGGCTTGTCCAAAAATACAAAATACAAAATATAAAATCAAAAACAAAAAAAAAAATACAAAATTAAGCACAAAGAAGACAAAATAAACAAAACTAACGATCAAACAAATAGCAACGACGGAAATTGTAAAGACTCAAAGAGAAATATTAGTATCGTGCAATTAAACGTGGAAGGACTTACTAAATCTAAGTCAGAAATTATGGCGGAAATATTCCAAGGAGCGGACATATTGACTATACAGGAAACACACATCCCCGAAGGTGGAACAAAACGACTATCGATACCTGGTTTCCGTTCAATGGACTACAAAGGTCATAACAAACATGGAATAGTAACTTATGTAAATCAACAAATAGACCAACAGATAATTAAGAAACTTAAAGGAAACTAGTATTCTATCGGAATAAGCATTGGGAGTATCACGATATATAATGTATACAAACCGCCTTCAAGCAATTGGTGTGACTCCGTACTTCCGTCTAGTCAACATCTGGGAATTTAAATAGGAGACTTCAATAGCCACAGTACTTAATGGGGGTACAATGAGGAAGATGAAAATGGTGAAAAACTTGTCAATTAGAGGCTAATATTAATCATACTTTTCTGGTATATGATGTTAAACAAAACGGAACCTTCAACTCAGGCAGATGGGTCGAGACCTACGTCTCCAGACCTATGCTTCGTTACAAAAAATAAATTAGACCAACCCTTACAAGATCTACAATACTGAATAAGTTCCCCAAAAGTCAACATTGTCCAATTATAATATTAGTGGGAATAAACCTACCCAGGATCAATAAACCAGAACTGCCTAGATGGATTCTGCGTAAGGCAAACAGGGATAGCTATTCCAAATACATAGAGAATAACATAAATCGAGTAGAACCAGTTCGAGAAAATTACATCAGATTCATTAAGCACCTCAAGACGGCAGTGACGAAGTCTATACCTAAAGGACACGTACAAAATTATATTCCATGCTGGAACAAAGAATGCAAAGAAGTTCTCAAAGAATATGTGGAAAACGGGAGTGATATCTCGGCTAAAAGACTAATGAACTTACTTGATGATGAAAAAAAAAAAGGTTGAATTAATGCAGTAGAAAGTCTGGACTTTTCTAAATCAAGAAGAAAAAGTTGAGCACTCCTTAGCAAGCTAGGATGAGCCCAACCGGTCCTCAAAGAAGAAGAGGTTTCGGCGAAAACGATAACAAACCAACTTTTTAAAGTATCAAACAGAAAAAACAAGAAAAGTTCGAAATAAGGAAACTACTTGCTAATGAACTCTCTTCATGCAAGGACTCGTCGCTAATATTTAATATTTTTACCAAGAGCGAAGTTGACATAGCCTTAAAAGCTGTTAAAAATGGCAAAGCTGCTGGAGCGGATGGCATCTTACCAGAATTTCTAAAAAACCTAGGGGTCAAAGGTAGGAATTGGTTAGTTATATTAACAACAAACATTGTAAATTCCAAAATTATGGAGAGAGGCCAAAGTGATAGCCATTTTATAACCGGGAAATTTCCAATAGAACAAGCTGGATTTAGAACAGGCAGACTGTTGTGATCAAGTCCTTGCTTTTACTACATATTTAGAAAATGGCTTCCAAAACAAGAAGTAATCCGACGCAGTTTTTCTTCGTCTGTCTGTGGCGTATGATACATTCTGGAAAAAAGGGCTGCTAGTCAAGATGGCCAATATAGTGAAATGCAGTAAGACAATGTGATTATTGAAATTGATGCAATCAAATAGGAAATTCAGAGTGTACCTAAATGGTGAAAAGAGTTCATACAAATATTTACAGACTGGATTACCCCAAGGGTCGGTTCTTTCACCAATTATTTTTAATATCTATACAGCTGATTTAGCAGTAACAGAGGCGAGAAAATTTATCTGCGAGGACATTACATTAGTATACCAAGCCGACTCCTTTAACGAAATAGAGTGCGTACTAAACGAAGACTTGATTGCTCTTCAAAAATATCTCAGGAAAGTGGTACCTTACATTAAATCCAAATAAGAATGTAGCGATAACTCTTCACTTAAATAACGGGAAGCTAACAGAAAACTAGAAATAAAAATAAAAGACACTCCAGTGACTAATAGTGAATGCCCAAGGTATCTAAAAGGATAAAGTAGACAGATCTTTAACATTCAAGGACCATATAGGGACAATGAAGAAAAAGTTGGAATCTAGAAACAATATAATAGCAAAACTAGTGGGCACAAGTTGGGGTAGCAGCGCGGAAGTCCTGCGAACATCTACATTAGCATTGGTTTATGGCGTGGCCAAGTACTGTGCTCCGATATAGTCAGCAGAATAATTAGGGTAGATCAAACCATACAACATATCATTGAAGTGTGTCCTAATACTAAGTTCAACAGGGGTATAGCAAGATTACACAAAGTTGAAGAGGATGCAGTAACATGGATAAATAACCTGGAGATACGTTTGTGAAGACCCCTAAGAATAATAACCTAAGTAAAATTTCATTTGGAAATTGTCATTCCTTTAAACATTATATATATATATATATAACTAGTTACCTTGTTACGTTGTTATTTTATTTTATTTTGTTATTTATTTACTTGCTGTTAACATACTTATACTTATTCACATTCACATTTATATTTATATTTATTTCTACTGCCTATTTATTTATAGAACTTAAAGGAATCATTTATCGTGCAACACAATCATTTTTAAGGTAGGCACACAAATGTATGATAAAAACTAAAATACAAATTTTTCAGATAAAACATTTTAAAATGTTTATCATGTTGTTTGTAGGCTCTTGAAAAACCAGAATAAAACCACTATTTCAGTATTAATATGAATTTTTATTTTGAAATATTTTGTCTAAGAACTCACATTTATAATAGATAGTCTTAATACAAATTGTACAATTTTTTTTATTTAAAAAGTTATTTGGGTAAGTAAAATAGATTGTAATTTTGATGATCAACCTTGGGTATTTTCACAGCAATATTGCAATTTTGGTTATTTTTTATTATAAAAATGCAATCAATTTTAAAGCTTTTTAGTGCAATACATTTTGAGCCTTAGTTATAAGTATTTTGGATTAAAAAATATATAGCAGGAAAATAATATTAAGGTAGATCATACAATTTTTAGGCATATAAAACCAATATTTACTTACATTTGGAAAACACTGTGATAAAGCTGGTGTATATATTGTGTTATCACCAAATCTATGCATTATGACAGAAGATTCTGCTAAATCAGAATGTGAATGATAGGGCAAACAACTGGCACTAGTATGTGGTCCTCTCTATGTATAAAAAGAAATATACATTTTAAATATTCAAATATATATCTTAAACAGTTATAATATAATCAGTTACAAAACTAAAAACTTGCTTGATGATTAATATGACAGTCATTAGAAATATATCGATTACCAACATTTCTCATACTTATTGACTGATCAACTGCAATTCCTGAAGTACTACTCCATAAATTAGCATTGGCAAATCTTAAAAAGTTAATAATAAGCAATTTGCTGTATTAAATTTGTAATTCATAGTTATTATATTTTAAACAGATTAAATACTTTTGAGCTAAATCAGGAACAGAGCTACTAGGGGTATATTTTCCTTCATGGCCAATGAGCATAGATGGGGATGGTGTATTTTTCACATTTCCAAACTTTTGAACTGTTCCACTAGACTGGTTTGCACTCTAAAAATACATTATTAAAATTAAATCAAGAAATATTGATTTAATATAATTTTCCATACATTGGGATTGGTTGATTCTGGAACATTTGTCCGATTATGATTGTTTTTTCTGAAAGGTTCTGTTGTCCATACATTTATAACTAAGATAAAAAAAATAATTAAAAACAGTGGGATTATTATGTATAGTTAGATCTTTAAAATAAAATTAATTTTTTTAGCAAAAATGTATGATAATAACAAAAAAAAATTGCTATAAAAATTATGGTACAATAATGCAAAATAAAAATATTTTATAAGAAATAAACAAGAACTATAATAAAACTAGCTGACCCAACAAACATTATTTTGTCATATAAATTATTTCTAGAAAATATTTTGTTAGAAAAAAATAATTCATTTAATATAGGTATATAAGGATGTGGTATATAAGTGGAAGGGGTATGGAGTGCTATGAACGATGACGAAATATAAAAATGAAAAAACATCAAACATTTATTTTTTTAATAATTTATTAAATATTGATCCTTTAAAATTATATATATTGCTAATTATGACAATATTAGCAAAAAACCATATCAATCCTTTAATGCAACAAAATGTACAATATTTGTTGTTATCCCATAATAATTATTGTAATCTCATAATTTTTTAATGACTAATCGCATGCTGTTGAACAACCGTGGTGGATTCAAATTACAAAGCAAAATAACCGGAGAACCAACCTTCAATTGTAAATTATGTGGTAGCTTGCCTGGTATATCCAATAAGTTTAAAAACTCTAATGGATAATTTACAGCTTCAGTAGCATCACAAAATGTGTCAATAGATTTGTATGATACCAAGTTTCCTGGTAACAAATGTTGTATCTTGAGATTCAATTTGTAGACATCCACATTTTTTGCTGCTAAAATTGCTCTTTCTGCCAGCTACTCATGATTTGTGTATTGTCTGTGTAATGGGGGAAATATCTGGTCAATAAGAGTATCTTGTGAATCAATGATTGTGCAGAAATCAGTTGATAATTATATGCATCCCATTTCATCTGTAGTAACTTTCCCATCACCGATATCTAACAACTGTTTTGAGAATCTTCCGCAAACAGATTTTTTGATTGAATCGCAAGTATAGTAGTCGTTCACTATCTATACATACATGTTGACCATGAATTGTTGACAAAGCTCATGACATCGTAGAATGTCCTAACCTATCATCAATCGATATACATAATAATCCTTCGAACTAAGATTCTTGATTGTTTTGGCACCTGTTGCAGGATCTTGTGGTTTAATATTAATGCTATACCCGTCATTTAATACCAAAAATAAAATGAATAGCTTTTAAATAGTTTTTTAATAGTATCATTTAATAATTAATTTTAAATTGTGCAGTTATCGACCGGGTCAAAAATTATTAAATTAATCTATGATTTATTAAACAATAGCACTTAGGAAAATAAAAAATAGATAAAAACCTATTTGCAGACCTAGCAAATTTATATACAAAATTTCATTAAAATCGGTTAAGTCGTTTTGGAGGAATATGATCACAAACACTGTGATACGAGATTTTTATATATATAGATATAATTAATTTTTCAAAACTATACACAAAATTGTTATTTAAGGATCTTAGAAGACCTAAACAATTAGACTCAATAACATGAATATAAAATAAGCTTTATTTCCTTTTTCCCTACCCTTTTTAATGTTTTTAAAGTAAAACAAATGATCAAATGAAGAGCCTTCGTCATGTTGAACTTAAATTAAATTCCATTACATATCAGTGAAGTTGATAATCCCAAAGATAATTCTATATTTTAAATAACTTACTCGGTATTTCAGGTGGCTTGTCTTTTTTAACATATCTTCCCACAACTCCTTCTTTTATAGTTCTTGTATCTTTATTTTTTCTCGATAACATATTTGATAATGGATGAGTAAGTTTACTTAAAGTTTTGATAGTAAATTTAAAACATTCAACTTCTGAAAAGATTTGAAATACAATGGATAAAATAATAATAAATACAATTTTTAAAAAATATTCATGAGCATTAGTTTATATAATATATAATATTAAATTTAATTATTAAAAAAATGATACTTGTAGAACTCACATTATGGTTTTGAAGTGAACAAATAATTACAATAATAGTGCATTTTATTGAAACTGAAAATAATTCATATTGGATATAATTATATAATGGATTTTTATGGATAACAATTAAACATAATAAAAATTAATTTTAACCGTGATCACGATTTGAGATAGTAAAATTTTAAATCATGATCGTGATCAATTGTATCACTTAAAATAACCTTAAATTATATTTTAAATGTTGTTACCATAGACACATAATAGAATATTGTATGTCTAATATATGTCTATGGTTGATACACTGAATAATATTATTTTGCGATTGATAATATCTACCACGATTATAGATCATAGAGTAATGCTTAGATATACATTATATTTATATCTTAATTCGTGGTACCTACCCTTTAACAAGGTAAAGTTGGTTATCTACCGTGGTTTAAGGTAGTACTATCTTAAACCATAGAGTAATTACTCTATGGTGTGATACCATAGTCCGTAACTCATAGATAGCCTTTTTAAAGAGAGATTTCATGTTATCTATGGTTTTATCTTCGACCGTAAAATCTATGATACTGTGGGGATACAACCACACCGCATAACAACACAATACCATAGATAATAAGCTAAATGTAACGCATTATTTAATATTTATGTTAATATGATATGCTTTATAATTAAAGCATACTTAATTGCATATTAAAGAGATCAAAGTCAGTTATTAATTATAATATTCGAAGTAATATAATTGTATTGTAAATATTCTCAATTATTATCTATAAGGTTTACATTTTTAACATCATAAAATATAAATTTTGATTAATGTTATTTTGTACTTGCTTCAATTTATTCTTAGAGTTTTAGATAAAGAAGTTCTGTCCACCAGAAATAATAAAAATTATTAATTACAATCTTCTAAGTTTTTTGAGTTGTAATTTGTATTATTGTTAACTACAACATTATTTATTCATATTAAGTGAGAGTTATAAACTTATAAAAAAGTAACCTATTGAAATAAGGTAGGTCATAATATTTTTATAATAGTTTGAAGTTTTTTCTTATTATTAATCTGAATAATATAAAGTGTATGTTTTAGTTTAATTGTTGATTAAAAAATAATTTATTTATCAATACCAAACAAATTTTACTAAAAAAATTAATATAATACTTTCAATTGATTTTGATGTAAATTTTTGTTATTAATCACTATTATTAATAATTAAAATATTTTATATAGCCACTGTCTTCATAAAAACTTATAAAATGTAATATTTATATTAATAAAAGATTTAAACTTATATTTTGTATATAAATTCTATTTATTTTTTAATATAGGGTTGAAAAATCAGAAACAATTATCACCTGAATATTTTTAACTCATCGGTTTACAACTTGACTGATTGCCATTAATTTTTTGGTAAAAAGGTTAAAATTTCAATAGTTATTAATAGGACAAAGGACTTGTAGCTCCAAAAATTAAAAATATATGCAAGCACAATGCATTTAAATACCCTATAATATGCACTTACAATTATTTATTAGTGATTTAATCTTGAAAGTATTAATAAAATTAATAGTATTTAAAATAAGCTAAAATAATTACCTAATATCAATATTTATTATGCCATTTCCAAGTAAATTAAATACATTTTTCTTAATTTTCATAATTAAATAGGCGTTTAGCTCACCAAGGCGATAATGTAGTATCATAAATGATTATCCATCTATTAATAAAATTAACTACAGCAAAATAATATTGTCTTATCGGCGATCCGCAAGCACTTCTAATAAAAATGTGTTTCGAACAATCATAGAAGTATAAAACGTATTTGTTTCAACTCTGCTATTTTTGTGACTGAAAACCAAATATGCAAATGCTACAAATATGGAGTATGGTATGGAGGTAAATTTTGAAATAGTAAACACATTTTCAATATTTAAAACATTAATATGAGTGTTTTATTCTAAAAATTGTTTGGTATCAAACAATTAATTGATATGACGAGTATTCTCTTAAGTAAATGTAACTTTCAACATTCTGTAAGTTTTAGTTTTCTCCAAAATATGTCTTTAAGTTGGAACATATATATATTATAAGTTATAACCTTTATTATAAATTAAAAGTTAGAACTTAAGAACATGATTATGGTTGACAAGTACTGTGATAAATTTGAGCCCTACCCCATAAATTGAAAAAATGTTCTACTTCTGCAGTTAGGATATTGTGTTGAGAAGAAGTGCAATGAAAAATAATGTGAAAAGCATGATAAAATTTATTTTATCATGGTGAAAAGTATCATAGATTGCCATCATATTGTGAAAGATACATAAAGGGGTTGTTGAGGAATAGCTTTTAAGAGTATAATTAAAGTAATATAGAACCTATTCTGAGATTTGAAAGAGTCTATTATTTTTTAACTTATTTTTAGATTCTTAAACCGAGGCTTAAAGAGTATTATTGGTAAGATATGATTGTATCAGATGACATAGTTGGAAGGGAGATTTTTTTGATATGGAGAAGAATTAATCCCTGGAATATGGATAGAATTAGGAATTAATTAAATTAATTTTATGATTTAATGTTATTATATATAAAATATATATTGTGTAATATGATATGTTAAATTGCTCATTATTAATTTTTAACAATACATTGTTTCCAATTAAATAATAGTATTCTTTTTAATATTAATTGAAAAATTATGTTAAAAGTTTGCATGATTAATGCTTTTGACAAAGTTTTTATTCATTACTTAGGCATTTGTGATGAAGATTTTAATATTTACGATTAAAAACTGATATTGTAAAATAGGTAACAAAAATCAATTAAATTTTAATAAACATGATAATATGATATGAAAATAAATTATACTTATACAGAGTGTATACATTTATCCTTATATATTTATATATTTACACTTATATATGTGCATACATTATAAAACACTCAATAGTAAACTATTTAAAATTATTAATTAGAACCCCTAGGTAATTATATTATATTTATATAAAAAATATATTTAAAAAGTATTTTTCAAGACTTAAGGATATTGGACTTAACATACCAAATTTGCTACAAAAATATATCTTGAGTAAATAAATTCTTATATGTATACAACTTTTAGATAATACAAACATTCTGTATATAAACCAAATATACTTGAATTATTAAATAATCTATGTTATATTAGATTATATTGTGAATGTTTAGTTCACTGGGTGTGGCTTTTATACAGCATCAACTTTTTCATAATAACCTTCCAATGAATAACTACAAAGTTTTTATTAGACTAAAAATTTATTTTTAAGATGGCTCGATCTTATACAGTTATCATCATTGGATCAGGTGTATCAGGAATTGCAGCTGCTACAAAATTACTAAAAAACAAATTCAACAATTTTATTATCTTGGAAGCAGAAAACCGAATTGGTGGACGTATTCAAACTTTACCTTTTGGTGGTAATTATTAAAAGTTATTAATTTAAAACTTTACGTTCAATAAACTATAATTAATAAATTGTTGCATACCCATAACAAAATCATTACTTAATTATAATATTTTTATCAATTTATAAATATTATCATTAATAGACATTACGTTATAGAAAACATTGATTATTTATCATTATTTTTTATATACTTATTATAGACTAGTTAAGTTCATATATTAGGGACAGCAAATGTATGACGTATGTTAGAAATATCACGTGAAAAATATACATTTAATTTTTAATAATAAATTAGGTCATAATAAACCACTTTAAAAATAGATATTGCTTTTTATTTAAATTTTTTAATAACTTATTCACTCAAGACACTTTTTTTTTTGGAATTCGTTTTTAAATCTGAATTAAGATATTGACCAATGAATAACTGTAATAGGTAATACATTCTTCTACATTAAAATTTACAAATTATAAACCGAAAATAAATAAATTGGTATCAAGTGTATTACAAAAATCACATTAAACAAATTAATAAAACCTTAATTAATGTTATTTTCATAAATTAAATATATATTTAATATTTCATTATTTAACTGTAAACAAGAAGAAGAAAATAAAAATCACAAAATTTTTGGCACATTATGTGAAGAAAATTTGTCACCACTCATATTTTTATTTCTTAATATTTCTTTTTCATCTCAAATATATATAAAATAATTAAATATATAAATTTATTAAAATCATTTACCTTCTGTAATCATTGCTTGTGTTGAATGCATAGGTGCAAATAGTGTTAATCATTTGAGGATGTTAAAGCTCAGGTCTATATTGGACGTTATAATAAAATATGTAGTGAAATCATTAGTTTTTGGGGACAATAGCAATTCTAGGGGGCTAATCCCCCCCAGACTCTGTTTCTTTTCACCTATGATTTAAGTTAAAGATTTAATTATTTTCATAATATATTGACAGTTAATGTACCTATGATTAGATTTAGATTTATAAACAAATAAATTAAAATAAAATTAGAGCTGGTATAATTATTAATAGATTCATGACTTAATCTAAAGACATAAATTACCATATTATAATTTAGATTTTTTCATAAGAATATTTACAAATGTTTATTTTTATAATAACAGGCATGAAATTCAAATAAGTAGGAACAAAATAGTTCATGGATTTTTGACTTATATAATGATTTTTTTTAGATAAATTACTTTAGCATCATAAGTTATGGTTTCTATTTTATTAACCATTTATTTTAAATTTAGACCGTTACCTATTTAAATTATTCACCACATAACATGGCAATTGTTTTTTATGGTAAATCCATTGGTAGTCACATTTATTAGTTTTAAATTTGTGCTAGTTAAATTTTCAAGAGAAGATAAATGTAAACATATACAAACTATTTTTCTTTGATATATTAATAGTGATTTCAAAACATTATTTAAGAGATCTCCCTAAATTAATCAATTATATTATTGCTTGATATACAGCTAAATGTACTATACAATTAACTTAAAAGCTATTACTCAAAATATGAAAATGCATTACTAAGTTATTAAAATACAAATTCCTTCTCGTGTATTTATCAGTGACTAATCCCAAATAATGTGTATTTGAGACCCTAAATAGTATTTTACATACTTTAACATTGCAAATGTTATTACAGTTACAAAAGTTTATAGTTCAATCGTCAATATTTTCTTTATTATTTACTATGAAGTTCATAAAAATGATTTTATTGTTATTTATTGATTAAATTCTATAATTTAAAAGCTCTACTATTTTTTTTAAATTCTTTTGCTACTTTAATACGTACCTCATTCCAGATGTCTCCTAAGAAGAGGAGCAATCTAAGTGATTAAAAAGTCTTACTATAAATACTTTCTGTTTATAGAATAAAAATAATTGGACCAAAAGCACTATCTTGAGGAACACCGTAATATATAGTAGCTAGATAATTAACTATAAATATAAAATTAATAATTGAACTCTGTTCAAATTGTAATTGTTTTAATTTGTATATTAATATATACAAATTTAATAAAATATACAAATTGTATATATATCAATTGTATTAAAAACATTCATGTTTACTATTAATTAATAATCCATTTATATAAATAAAAATAAGATAATTCCTATAAAGTTTATCAAAACTTCAAATGCACGCATTTGATTATTACATTTTTTTAGTTAACTTGCTCAATTTATCAAAATCAAAAATTTAATTTTTCTACATGTACATGGACACTATAAACTATTTTCTCCTAAAATGTAGCATAAACTTATAGAAATGTTCATTATAAAAAATGAACAGTATACTGTATGCAACCTCAAAAGTACAAAATACCAATTATATTAAAATGCATTTTTTTGAATATGCTAATTTAAAAGTATTCTTGATTATACTCACTGTAATAACATTTGTTACAACTTATAATGACTGCATAAACATGTATACATCTATCCCTAATATAAATTAAAAAGTAAAAATTAAATGATTTATAAAATAAAATACAAACCTATAAATCTCTTATTTTTCTCTAAATATACATTTGAAAATACTTTTTAGGTTCTAATTAAAAAATTCTTAATTACCTACTTAATAAAAGTTTTTATTTTTATTAGTATATATTTTTTCCTCTTTATAGATGGACACATTGAATTAGGAGCTCAATGGATTCATGGAGAAGAAGGAAATGTAGTATACAATATGGCTTCTGATCAAAATTTAGTATCTGATCGGAGAGAAACTATGCAACAATTTATGAATTCAACTTTTGTAACTTCTTCAGGTTGCGAAATAAAATCTGATCGTCTTCGTGAATACATAAAAGTGGCTTATTCTGTGTTTGACGATAGCCCAAAAGATGATTTAGAACGTTTTATGTCTTTAGGAGAACTTTTTCATAAAAGGTAATGATTGTTCTTTTAAAAATATTTTTTTATTACTTATTTTGAAGTTGTGATATACCTAGTCATTAAGTTACATTTATTCTTCTTAGAACTGAAAATATTTTGATTGATTCTGAAGAATTACCACTGAAGCAATTTATTAATTGGTGCCAACATTATCAAAATTCATATAATGGAAGTGATAATTGGTTTGAAGCATCAGCAATTAATATAGATACTTATAAAACTTGTCCTGGATATCCTGCAATTAGTTGGAAATCAAAAGGATTTTCAACTATAATAGATTTATTGCAGGTATGGAAGTATACAGCACCGGTAAATTAAATATCAGTTAAAATAATTTAAGACTTAAACGCCAAATTATCACTAAATTACTCATTCTATTTTATATTTGTGTCCAAACATTTAATACATTTTGAACATTTTTAATTATATTTCTTCTAGTTAGAATTAACAGTTAAATAATTTAAAAAATTATTGAATCAATACTTAAGTAGTAAGTATAAATATACGAAGACTAAAATCATTAACAATATACAGTTTTTGTAATGATAATTTTTGTATAGCACATTTAATCTAGGATTCTAGTGATACCTTTTAGTTTTTATTTCAGGTGGGTGATGGGTAGGGAGTATTACCCCCCAAAGAAAAATGTATTCCACACAGAAAAAGTTTATTTATTAAATATTTACTCCTATGGTATACTGTATACTACATACCCTCCCTAAAAAACGTTTAATACCCCCCCCCCCCCAGAATATATGATCTGAAATAAACACTGATAGTTGTCACGGTATGTCTATGTTTTTAAAATAATATAATTTATAAAAGTAAATCATTTGATATTAATAATAAGGAAATAGATTCAAACCTAAAATCAAATAATTTACTATTTGCTTGGCCAACCTTCTTTAATTCAGGGCTTTGCACCCGAATTAACCTGAACCCGTAACACCCCTAAAAATTCTTAAAAAATGAAACACCCAAAACCCATATAACCCGAATGATTTTATTTTTAAAACACCCGAATTAACCAAAACCCGAATAAAATATTGGTTTTAACCTGAAACCTAAATAATTTTTATTTTATAATCTTTATGTGATATATCATTTTGTATGTATTTTTGTGGTTATTTTGATTTTGTCATTAGTTGCTTAATAGTAAAATTATTATTCACAGAATTAATTTCACATATAACATACAAAATTGTTAATTAATATAAATTTATCTAAATAAAGACAATAGCAATACATCATATTGACAGTTGTGCATGAATGATATAGTAGGTATGTTGAATGTTCAAGTGTAAATAACTGGAATACTATTTTTAAAATTATCCCAAGCGGATGCGTCGTATTATTATAATTTAATAGGTAATTGGTCTTCTACGAATCACCGAGTCGTTATTTATTGCAATACTGTAAGTTTGAAATAGAACTGATGTCTGACTTATTACCTAACCTTAATTACCGTTCGCGTTATAAATATTTGTTCAATGTATAGCATGTAGTACACATGTCTATGGCATGAATTGTCAATTATTGTTGCTGTAATAATTTCATCTTAGCATTCATAAGTACAAATTGTTATTATTTGTGTATCACGCTATGTCCTAGCTAATGCGTTTTTAATGTGTGCACGCACCACAAACCATAAATGGAAATTTGGTGAAATTTGTGGAGGGCTGAGCATTATTTGCTTATTACACCTATAAATACCACCGTGCATAATTATTTATTTCAACAATGCAATTTACGAAGTTTGATAATTCGACTTTTTTAATTAACAATTTAAACAAAAAAACAATTAGGTGCCTTATTTTAAACATTTTTGGAGTAGGTATTCTAAACATAAAATAATTAATTAAATTAAACAACCTTATACAGGTATTATTACATATTATTAATAATACATTAATTACGATCGTTCTAAGTCATGACAAGAAGTTTGTAAAATCTTACAAATTTGATTTAATTTTTATCATAGAATATTTTTAACATATTAACATAATTAATATTAACATAATGATAGTTTGGTCTAAAAAACTGTTGCACAGTTGTATAAGAAATGTATATTTTATTACATAGGTAGGTAACAAAAAATATAAATATTTCATTAATTGAGGGGATCTTAGCTTCTCCACCAATGAAAAATAATATTTTTCCTTAACTATCTACTTAACACCCTTATTAACCAATATTAACCCGAATAATAACGGTTATTAACACCCAAATGTTTGTTTAAATGTTGTATTACGGTGTTTGAACACCCGAAACCCGAAAAAATTATTCGGGTGCAAAGTCTTGCTATAATTTGTGGAAAATCACCAAATTTTCATTTTCTAGACAAGGTATTTTTTTAAAGTTAACTTTTATGTACCTATCTATAATATTGAAATAATTTTAAGCTTGGTGTAGACATAAAAAAATAAAATAATTAAAAATAATATTGCAAAACATTCTATATCATTATCAGATGAAGTTAAGTACAATAATAATATAAATTAAGAGAAGTATTAAATATTGTAAACAAAATGTTGATTAAAAGAAAGTATAGTTCTTGACATGATCATAACCAAATTTATTTTTTTTTATAAAATATATTCAAAACTGATAAATTACTGTACTATAAATATTGTTCTTTCTATATTCACTAAAACAATCTATAAATGACATGTATAAAATTAGTTTATTGTTCAGTTTTGGTAAAAGTTTTAAAATATTATAAATATAATGTATAACAAAACCACAATATTGAACTATTATTTTTTAATTTTTAGTATTTTAGAATACTTTATGTAAATATTATAATTTATATTTTTATGCATAGATGGAGTCATATTTAATGTCATGTTTGACATTCTTATTTTTTGGTTGATTAAAGTAATATACTTCTCAATTTATTAAATTTTACTGCACATTTTTTTGTGATTATATTATTAGATAGAAGAAAAATAAAATTCAACATTGTGTTGTACTTTTATTATTAATGTTTACCTTTTTAAACATTTATTTTTATTTTTAGAGGTAACTACTAAACTTTAAGTGTTATGTTATTCATAGTACCTGCAATATTTAGATTTTTAATTAATCACTTTTAAATATGTTCTAGGAAAAGTTCAATGATGAAACTGAACATTTATGTATTAAGGATAAAGTGATATTTGGAAAAGAAGTGGTTAAAATATATTGGTCTGGTGATCTAGCAGAAGTATTATGTGCAGATAATAGTCGATTTCAAGCACAGTGCGTTTTATCTACAGTTAGTCTTGGAGTTTTAAAAAATGTATGTAACGAATTATTTGAACCTGAAATTCCAGAATATAAATTAGATGCCATTAAGGTAAGTGAATTGACCTTCTATTTATCTTTATCACATTTCTCATTTAACAATTGTCTTTTTTCAGAACATAGGTATTGGAACTGTGGATAAATTATTTTTAAAATTTCCATACAAATGGTGGCCAGATACTACACCAGGATTTAGTTTCTTGTGGTCTGATGATGATCGTGAAAAATTTGTTAAAGAAAATAAAGTATTTAATTAATATTAATTAATTATGTTTTAAAACCAAATTTATAAATACCTTACAATTTAAAATTTTTAAAATATATATTTAAAAATTCATATAATATTTTATAATTTTAATTTTTTATTTAATTTTAATAATTTGTATAAAATCTTAACTTTCAAACTTATGAAAAATTTCAATTTCTCTTGAAATAATATGAAATTTTATATCTAAAGAGCTCAACATTTTAGCAAATTTTATTTTATTTATTACCTTTTGGCTTTTTAGTATCAAATCTTTACTTTTGTTAACACTTATCATTACTTTTAATTATTTTTTCATTTATTCATATTGTTTTCATAGTATTAATTTTTTATAATTTAGAGACGTGGTTGGGATTATCTATGTGATGTATTTGGTTTTTATATTGTTGATAACTGTCCAAATACACTACTTGGTTGGATAGTTGGTCCTGCTGCTAGAAACATGGAACGTAAATCTATAGATGAAATAAAGATTGGATTGGTGTATTTATTGAATAAGTTTTTGGGTGACAAATTTACTATACCTCAACCAGATTTAGTAACTAGGTAAAATTATAAAATTATGTTTTGCTACTTTTCAATAGATTTTATTCAATAATTAAATTCAAACAAATTTTAGATCACAATGGGGTACAAATAGTCACTTTTATGGTTCATATTCTTTTCATTCAATGAATACAGATAAAGAAGGAAATGCTAATAGTCAACTAGCAAAACCTTTAGTTAATTCTACTGGAAAAAATGTATGTAATAAGTAATAGCTATCTATGTACAGTTATAATTTAAAAAAATTCTTCAGTTTCTATGTATATATTTTTTATTTTTATTTTAGATTTTGCTCTTCGGTGGTGAAGCTACACATAGTCATTATTTTTCAACTGTACATGGAGCTATTGAATCTGGATGGAGAGAAGCTGATAGGATATTAGAACAATTTAAAGAATAAAATATATTGGAACTACATAAATAGAACAATGTTATACTTTCAATGTTTTTAATTTTATTGTAATGATTAATTATTATAATTTTTATTTCAATATTTTTATTATGATTGTTAAATTAAATTATAAAACCTAAACCTAATTATTTTCATTGTTATTCATTTAGGTACTCAAATTCATCTGTTATATATTTAATTTACTGAGTATTTTTATAAATTATCTGAATATCTTAGTTGATTTTTTGATTTTGATTAAAATTTACATATTAAATTATTTCAATTATATTCTATATGAATAGCTATCAAATGCATGCATTGTCACTATACATTTTATATACATACTTAAATAACATAAGGCTATATTCAACTTTTTTTAATTTTTAAACCAATCAATTTTAGTTATTTTTCTGTTTAAAACTGTAAATCAGTTATTATCTGGCTGTTACCATATTATTATTTTTAATTCACTAGTATAAACTATAATCCATTTTGAAGCATTCAGACTTCCAAAATTGTATTACTTCAAACGTTAAAGGTGTCTGCTATTTGATCGTTATTATTATTCTTGTAATGATTTTTATTTCACGGACAACTAATAATTACAATTTTCTAACGTAAAGTTATATGCAACTTTCATTTGAATATATTCCCAAGTTCTAAAAAAAATGTTATAGAATATTTCAACATATTTTCAATAATGTGCTCTGGGACATGTTTTCTCTATAATTACATTATCATTTTTATAAATATTGTTATGGTATGGGTAAATATGTATTTTTTGACAGTTAACAACAAATTTAAAAAAATAAAAACAAGAGTTTGAAATTATGTATTTTTAAATTAATGATTATTATTTTTATTATTATTATACAATTGTTATAAATAATTTTCTCAGGTGTATAAGATGTACAAATAATGAAAAATGTCTACTAGTTATTTAGATATTTTGGTTAAGTGTTGGTTATTAAAGTACCTATCTCAGAAGAAGAAGTTGAGGGGATGAGGAGATCAATGACACTAAATGGTGATGTGATAGGTGAAGTTGAAAACTTTAAATATTTAGAATCATTTATACAAAAGGAAGGAGGCTTTGGCATTTTTGTAAAACATATGATTAAGTGGGGTTGAATAAAATAGAGATTTTAAACAGTCATTTTAAGTGATAAGAGGTTTCCAATGAGGCTAGGTAAAAAGATAAATTTTACAAGAGTGTAGTAAGACCAACTATGCCTTATGGTTCGGAGTGTTGAGCTGTTGACAGCAGAATAAAACATAGTATGAGTATTGCAGATATGAGAACAGTGGCATATACAAAAGGAAATGTGGGATTCAGATCCCCCCTAGACTTTTTTTTAAATGTTATAAAATAATTTTTTTAGTGTAAGACGTTAAAAACGTAAAAAAAAAAATGATAAAATAAAAATAATGATTTATTTGCAAATGACTCCCCCCCAATACAAAAGTTATACATATACGCTACTATATGAGAATACTTAGATGGATGAGTGAAATGACAAGATCAGATAGAATAAGGAATGAATATGGTAGGATTGGTGTAACATCAATAGCGGACAAGATGAGAAAAAATAGACCGAGATGTTTTGAGTATGTGATGAGGTGAGAGAAAACAAAAGCAGTAAGAGTGGTTATGAAAATAAACGTTGAAGGGAAAATAAGAAGAGGAAGACCATAAAAGAGTTGGTGGAATACAACTGAGAACGATATGAGGGTTGTTGGTATGTGCGTAGAAGATGTAGAAAATTGAGACGAGTGGAGGTTAAGACAAATAGTCGACAATTTTGTTTTTTTGACCTATGTCAAGACAAAGGTCGACCACAAATAGTTTTAAGAGAAGCAAAGGAAAAGAAGATTTAGGTCTTTCCTTACATATTTTTATAAAATATATTTAATAATCTATATACAAAGTCTACGAACAGCGGAACTGTCCCATTCAAAATGAGATGTATGTTGACCTTAGGTATACCATGCATGATACAAAATTATTTTCTTGTTAAATTAGTTACTATTATAGTATTCAAAAAAATGTTCTAATATGATACAAATAGTTTATATTTACATTATAGAAATAAATCATTGTATTTTTAAACTGAAAAAAATATTAAAAAAGCAAGTATTGGTATTTTTGAAGCATGCCTATAGAAATGAGAGTAATATGAAAATATAACAAATTTTAAAGTGTAAGTTCTCCAGCCCTGATAATATATTTTGTGATATTGTAATATTAATAATAATTATAATAATTACAAAAAAAAAAAAGGCAAGATTAGGTACATAAAATAAAATATTCATACAAACAATGTTACTCCAAAAACAAAATAATTAAATTTAACCTAATCTACATATTCTTATATCAAATAAATAATAACATTTACTACAGAATAAACTTTAAATACAAATTATAAATAATAAACTATATCTACATTTTTTTCTATAATTAATGGTAATAGCTACCTATTAAATTATCATTACAACTAATATCTTATCCCTGAACTATATTTGATTAATCTTTAGATTTATAAAATTTAAATTTATTTAAATATATTTGTGGTTTTGTCTACACACTTTCGAATTAAATCATATAGATACTACCCATATGTACATCTGTAGATGTTCCTTTATTAAAAGAATAGGTAATAATTTATTATAATTTATTTAAATTTGTTAACATGTCTATTATGATTCTGTACCATGGTTTTAGAAATATGTGATTGCAATGTCGCACAATAATTATTATTAAATGTTTATATAGATAAAATAAATGTTTTCTTTTGAGTAAAATTATACTTAATAAATATATTGAACACAGTTAAATGCATAAGTTATTGCAATTGTATTATATTACCAATAAATATAGTTTTTAATAAAAAAATGTTAATGTTTATATTTATATGATATATTAATATTATAAATATATAGATACATTATTTATATTATATATTATAATTTACAAAGGTGAGCAAGTAAATGAAAATACTCGAGTTAAGTTAAAATTAAAAAGTTAAAAGTTAATAAGGAAGAAAATATTAATTTAATTCAGTTTAAAAAAAGTTAATCTACTCTTTTAATTTAGTATATAGATCACATAAAAAGCGACTGCATTCTTTAGAAAGATTTAATTTCCTAAATTATAATAAACAATTTTATTGAATTTTTTATCATGGGTAATAAGCAGTGGCGCCGAAGTGTTTGAAAAATATTATGACATTGTACATCAAGGGACCAACTTTTTAACTTAACATGAACGTTTTAACTAGTTAATACCAACCTTTAATAATTTTTATTTATAGTATGCATAATGTTTGTACAATGTATACATTTCGAATTTTTTTTAGCATTTTATCTTTTTCTTCCATTTATTTGTACTGTATTTATTGTTGTTCCAAGATAGTATGCAGCTAAAAATATAACCTTAAATAATCAATACTTGTGTATAAATTGTGTGCCCACGGTCTGTATTACCTTGTTTAAATTTCAAACATTGCACGTTCATGCGGTGTACTGTTGCTGTTAAAGTATTTAGTGTGCTTATTTCGTTTTGAAATTATTACTTATTTTACCCCAGTAAATTATAATAATCTATCTATTGTTCTCATTAATTTTTATTAAAACTATTATTAAAGGTAAGGTTACCAATTATTGTGATGGTTATGTATAATTGTATATAATTAATGTTAATATTTGATGTTAATCATATTAAATTCGAAAATAATGCATGTTTCTTATTCAAACTAGTGGATAAGCAACACTTCAAATGTATTTCATATAAATAATTCTAGTTAAATATATTTAATTTCGGTTATTTTTTTATTCATATTTTTATACAATTGAAATTGCATGCTTGTGAAAGCACAATATAAAGACTATAAACGTTTGTTGATATTTACTTTTTTTACATTGACCAATTATGAATAAAGGTTTGTTCCAAAATGAAGTAGTTTTACTTTTCCAACTGTGTTACATGTGACTGATGTAAAATAATACTGGAAACTAACTCATTTAGTCATTTTTGTGATAAGTTATTAAATATTTTATTTCAGCTTTATTCCTGTAGTTGAAACTAGATTTAATTGTTTAAATGTTATTTTGTTATAGATGAAGTTGAAAACTGATAATGCAGCCAAGAAATCTTTGAACACAAAAAAGTGAATTTTTATTATATAAATATTTAAAGAAAAGTGGACAAATATTAATAATTCATTTACTGAAGATTTTAGGTTAAATATTTGTTGAATAACATTTCAAAACATCTGGGATGAAAATCAGATATCTTAAAAAAAAATTCTATAGTAAAAGAAAATTAGTATTCCTTTTTGTTTTTATCTTAAAATTTCATTTTTCCACTTTTCTAGTTTTACTTATTTTGGTTCTCATTTTTAAACAAGTTTGAAATTAAAATTATTGTATTGGATAAATAAAAAACTATGATGTTTGTCTTGAAAATGATCAATAATTATTTAAAATTAATGCTACTTGTATTATGAAAGGATTAGTTAATCTCTTGGATATTATTTATAATCAAAAAAAAATAAACCCAATACCCTCATGAATATTCATACTACAACCATAATAAATAAGTAAATAATAATTTTGTTAACTTATGAGATTCCTAAGAAATATGAAAAATATGAATTTTCAACCCATATAATGAAGTGAAAATATTTTATAATGTAGTTTAATATATAATTACATTTTATTATAAATATATCTCTAAATAGATAGTGTTTCATTTCATTAAAATTATATATAATATTTATAATATTAAAATATTTGTTGTCTAAGGTATTCGCAAAATTATATTCTGAATTTTTTTATGCTTAAATGTGAGACTAATTTATTGTAAGATTTTTTTTTATACTATTTAATTTAGTTTTATATGTAGGCAAATTGAAATATATAATTCATAAGTATCTTTTATTAAATGTACCTACATTTTTCAATTAAGAAATCAATACTATCAAAATATGATAGTATATGTTTTTCATTTGTGTTGAATATATCTGTAGTTTAAAATAAAATAAATTGGAGTCAAAGTCTTAGCACAGTGATTCCCAACAGGCTGAATAAGAATTAAGTTAATTAAGTTAACCTGGTATTAACTAAATCATTTAATTTTTGATTTATCCTAACAATTATAAAATTAAAGTAAGGTATACCTACAGATGTTTTATTGAATAACAAGAATATTAAATATTTATTTTTTATTTCATATTAAATTTACATCTATTCTAGTTAAAATTCATGTCTAATTAAATAAAATTGAAATGGTCATTGAAATAAATGTTTACTGAAATACGTTAGTTATTTAATTTAATATTGTAATTTTTAATGTTTTATGTTATATACAACAGTAAAAACTATTTTAATGTTAGATATATTAACTAAATATTTTTTCAACCTGTACATTTTTGTAATTATGATTTAATTGTGTCCATAACTTATTAATATTTTGTACGGTTTTTATTTATATAGAAATAAATCTCCTAAAAAACAAGCTAAAGGAGTTGAAGTTAGGAAGGAAAAATCAAAAGTAGTGGTGAAGCCAACTGTGTTGAAAAAAGAATCTGATAAAGCTCAAGTAGAATCACCTATTGATCCCCAAAAATTACTACAAAGAGAATTATGGAATAAAGCTGTAGTAAATGTTTCAAACAAGGCTGGTCTTTCTGATGTTGAAAACTGTATTGTTAAATTATTAGCAGACTACAAATCAAAAAATTCCATCCCGATGAAAAATAATAAGTTTAAAGTAAGTTTTTTTTTTTTTTTTTTTGTTCATAATGTTAATGTTATTTCATCTTTGTTGTATAGAATTTCATTTTAAAAGGATTTTCTAAGTACAAAGATACTAGTGATGACGTGTTAAATGAAATTTATAACAAAATATCCAATGAATTTAAGATAGTAGGTGGTAATGATAAAGCTATTGCTGACAGTCAAGTTAGCTCTAAGAAATCAGATTCAAAAATTGTTAAAACAAAACCAACTAAAAAAACTATTAGCAAAGAATTAGATGATGGTGATGATGATGATGATGATGATGAAGAGGAAGATGAAAACAATGATGAAGTTGAGGATGAAGCAGATGATGATGTTGAAGATGAAGCAGATAATGAAGTTGAGGATGATGAAGATATATTAGGTGAAAGTGATGATGACATTGAAAGTGAAGAAGAGAAACCTAAGTCTAAAGCCAAAGGTAGTAATAAGGCTAATATTAAAAATGGAAAAAGTCCCAATAAAGGTAAAAATGGTAAATTTAAAGGTGGCAAAGTGCAAAAAAAGAAGTTTGGTAAAAAAAATTAAATTATTTAGTTAAGTAATTTGATTATATTCGTATTTTTTTTTTTTTACAATTTAATCTTAATTGTTTGACTACAAATATTTAATAAATATTATGAAATAAAAATTAACATAATTGTTATTATTTTTAAGCTAGTTTCTTCATATATATTTAATAAGTTAAAAATTACCCAGTTTTGCCTGATATTTAAGTCCACGGAACTACAAGATATCTTTCCTTTTTCAAATTTTTCAGGAAAGACGAAACAATGGTTTAAAACTGTATAAAAAGATATATTCAAATTCTTTGGCAATAGTAATAATATGATTTCATAAAAAAAAAATTAAACAATGGCTTGAATATGTCTTGTTGCAGCGTAAAATTATTTTTTTTTTTTTCTTATAATGTATAAAAATATTGAAATTAATATGAAAAAGTGTTCTTACCCATAACATTGTATAAATTATATACTTACAGGGATATAGTAAGATTAATTTTGGGCAGGGGTTTATGTATGTGAAAAAAAATAAGAACATCATTAAATATGGAAAATCTAAACTACTAAGCAAACACTGTATATTTTGGGGTGGGATTTTGTCCCCAAAACCCTCTCCTTGATAATACATAGTTAAACAAAAATTCAAACAGAGACTATATATAAAAAAATAATGAGATTAAGTTCTTATAATATTCCTTACAAAAATTGTACTGAAATAGAAACCAGACATCTCTATTTGTATATCTCTGTATTTGATTATTCAATTTGATTGTTACACCAATCTAAGGAAAATATTTTTTCTAATAATAAAAGCTGAAAAAACAGGAGATGTCTGGTTGTTGCTCCGTGGTCTTCAATTTATCCCAAATTTTTAAATTATAAAAAAAAAATAATTCTACTGATTGTGAAATTTATTTTTGTAGTTTTTTTTTAAAAAATGTATTAAGTAAAATATTTTAATAATGTATTATAATTTAAGGTTTACAAAAACTTGATTATAAATTATCGTTTTGAATTTTATTTCAAAGCAACCCTATGACATTGAAATTTAAAGTCCTTTATATAGGATTCAATAAATTGCCGTTATCACCAGCGGCTGACTAGCCCATTGTTCTGTAGAACGGTAAGCTCTTGTACTATGCGACCCTTTATCGATAAATGTCTAGAAGCCATGATTAAAGAAATAAATTTATAAAATCTTAATTATTCTCAAATATTTTAATAAGATTAATAAATGTATTGTAACAGATCAATTATAATAAACATAAACCGATACTGATTTAAATTTAAGTTTTGGAAAATATATTATACTTAAATTATACTAATTATTTATGAGTACAGATAAATAATTGTATATAAGCCAATTCACATTTAATAATAAATTGTAAAAAAACATAATCGCTTATCTAAATGTATCAAAAAAAGGAGGCTTCTACAATTTTAATCATGACTATCGTTGAAAATTAAAAACTAGTCTTGCCTAAAATTTAAATTTTTCTAAGAATAAAAGAAGAAGAATTAGGATAAAGAGTATTGACAAACTTCTTCCTTAGAAGAAAGAAAGGCTCGGTCAATTAAAATTTTAATTATTTTTGATAAATATCTGGTACACAAAAATACTAGCTCATTGACAAAACAAACACTATACATCTTGATTTAATTTCGTTTATCAAGAAAAATTGAAATTATCACATCCTCCAGATATATTCTACTATTGCTTATATTCTATTTCCACTAACTTTGAGAAGATTATACTGATACAAAGCAAGGAATTCTTAATATAAAAACTTGTTTTTATGTTTTTTTGTCTTAGATTTTATTTAGTATTAAAAATTGTACTCTGCATAATATATAAACTGAAAACTTACCAAAAATAGAACATTGACTTTATGAAATTCCTTTTAAACTTTTGTTTGGGGCCGTATTTAGGATGAGCAACAGGGTACTGTTGCCCAGGGTGACTAATTTTCTTATATTTTCAATATTTAATGATCTAATATTTTTGAAGTGAAATTTCTTTACAAAATAAAGTGTATCTCAAAAAAAATATATATATCGCCAATCACAGCATCATGACACACATACACACACTGTCAGTAACAGTTGAGAACTGTCAAATGATCCAAAAAATTACAAACAATCTATCCTTATGTTGATATTGCATTTAGAATGTTTTTGTGTACACCAGCAACAAATTGTTCTTCAGAAAGATCTTTTTCAACTCGCAGAAATTCGTATTTGGTATAATAAGACATTCTTCATTGTTGCTCCTTGGTGTCAAATTACTGAATACGACCCTACTTTTGTTCCATTGAAAAAAAATATTATAGGAATAACTATATTGACTAAGAATAGGTACTTATTAAAATTAAATACAACAATTCAAAACATAAATATTTACTGTCAGATATATTACATAAAATTAACATTTGAAAAAATTAATGATACTGACAAAAATTATATATAACATATCTATTAAATAATAGTGTTAATTTTAATAATGAGTTTCTAAAATATGAGCACAGATTTGAGATTGATTGTAAAATATTTGCATACAAAGATCACATTTATATTTGTTTAATTTATTTGAGAAACTGTCTATCTTATTACCACTCTTACTTATTAATTGATTATTATTAGGATGATTATCATGAGGTAATAATGTTGATATTTGAGGTTCTTTACGAATATTTCTCATAAATTGATTATGAAATCTTAAATGAATATTTAAATTGGACGACACCGGAAACCATTTACCACAAAAATTACATCTAAATGGTTTTTCTTCAATATGAGTTTTTTCATGAGCTAAATAAACAGGATATTTTGAAAATGTTATAGGACAATATTGACATTTGAAATGATTTATACCGATATGCCATTTATAATGCTGATGAAGTCTATGAGATGAAGTAAATTTTGATTCAGGACATACGTCACATTTTAATTTTTTTTTTTCAAAACGTAAAATGAAGTCCTGAAAAGTCTTGCACGAGGTTGAACATGTATCACAACTATATTTTGCATAGTCTTCTTGATGACTTTCAAAAATATGTGATATTATTTCAGAGCGCTTATAAAACATCTTTGAACATCTTGAACACTCATAACTTTTAGATAAGTTTTTTACTTTACTGATATGTTTGAATACATTAGATTTTGAATTTAAATGCTTTTGACAAACATTACACTGATTATTATTTTTTAAATTGTGAATTATTTTTTGTGCAGTAAATGATGATGCCCCAAAATATGGTTGATGATATACTTCACAGTTTGATGTATGAATTATTTTATGCTTTTCGAAAGAATTTAAATGTTTTGTTGATTCATTGCATTTATCATAGTTTAATTGTTTATTATTATAATGAATATGTCTGTGTTCTTTTAAAATAGACAATTTCTTAAATGACTTTTTACAAATTTGACATTTCCATTGTTTTTTCATACTATGAATATTTTTACATGTAAAACCATAGTTAGAAAAAATATCACATTCAAAATTATTTTTATTTGTATGCAATTTTTGATGGTTTTTTAATAATTTGTTATTTTGCATTACAGATTGACAAATTTTACAATTGTTAGACTCTTTTATATTGTTAGTTACTAAACTATTTACACCATTATGTAATATTGAATATTCAGTATTATTGCAGCTATTATGATATTTGGAACTATTGTTTTCAAAATTAAAATAATTTTCTGGAAAGCATAAACTTCTTTGAAAATGTTCAATAATACGACTACGTTTACGAAAAATTTTACCACAAATATCACATTTATACTGGTTCACAAGATTATCCACTACATTTTGTTCTTGGTTAGATATAAGACATATTTTAGATTTGCAATCATTATTGATGTTTATTTCCGATTGATAATTAGTGGACTTTGAATCGTCTTCATTAATTTTGAAAATTGTACGATTATCAAGTGGAAGTAAAAAATTTGCGATTGAAGAAAGTGGCAACTCATTATCTGAGTAACTAAAATTCAAACAAAATAAAAATAAAGTATTTGAAATTTTATATTTATGTAAAATCTTACTTTTCAGTGTCTGTTTCGATATCATCCAAATCAATAACTTGACATTCTGTGGTATCAATATTGTTTTTATTTGAACTAAACATAATTTCTCAGTACCTATTTAAAGTGAATATCTAAAAATATAAAAATGTTTACATAATGAATGAAAAAATTTCCTAAAATTTTGTTTAAGATCATATCACAATTTTAATAATAAATGAGTCCTTAATAAACATTTTATTATCAATCCAATATAGAATTATATGTATATTTTTGATAACTATAAAAAAAAAAATAGAACCTAGTTTTATTTATAATTAAAATATTTTCATTACATGAAATTTGTAAACATATTTAAGACAAAAAAATAAAATTACAGGCATAACTAAATAATACTAATAAATTTAATTAAAGTTAGTGTTCAATAAATTAGATAGTTTTGCAAATTGTACATAGTTATATTACTTTTTATAACTTAAAGAATCAATATATCCAACTTCTTATGAAAAATTAAATGATTTTAAAAATATAAAAAAACAAACATATTTAATTCAAAATATAAATGAAAAATAGTACCGTAAAATTATTTATGAATATATATAAATATTATAATGAAATTAACTAACCATATATTTCAAATGGTTGACTATAAAAATGATGCAACATTTATTTATTTTATAATTAACTTTATAATTAACTAAAAATATATTTGTTACCCATTCATAAATTAAAAATTAAATTTTATATTTATCAACTAATACCATATAAATGGAACTATAAATAAATGCATGTTTTTAAATAATGTACCTACTTTACTAATAACTTTTACTTAAATACATAAATTAAAAACAGTAAATAAAATAATTTAAACATAGAATAAAATAAATAAAATAATATTGAACATTTAACAATTTCCAGTTAAACTCTGTCTTCTGATAACAACAATTTTGGTGTGATAGAAAAAATATTTTTATACACATACATTTTTTGGATTAAAATTTTTAAAATATTTTTCTAATATAAATCATATAACTACCAAAATAATTTTTATCAATGTTTATAAACTGTTTGATGTAGCTCAGGCATGTCAAACACGAGGCCCACGGATCGCATGTGGCCCACGGCTAATTTTTTTGTGGCCCACGTCACCAATATCAATCGACAAAATAAAAAATTAATGGTAAAAAAATATTATAAAATATTAATGTCAAGTCACAACTATCTTATACTGTTAGAAATTGTTATATTTGGTATACGATATTATGTCTTTTATTCTGATAAACTATAATCAAATAAGTTTTATTGATGGTTTTATATGTATAAATTTATAATAATATAAAAAAAAAAATGTTCTTTAAATTTTTATGTGTGGCTCGCGTAGTATACTCCTATTCAATATATTTGACCCACTTGATTGTTTGAGTTCGACGTGCCTGATGTAGCTATATTTAGTTTAGGACACTAAAAAATTATTTATAACTTAAATAATTTATATTTATTAATAATGCTTGAAAAACTTTTAATATTATTTAATGATGAAATATATTTTGTATTTATAATTTTCACATTATTTAATATTTATTTTTCGCTTATTAACATTTTATATATGTACCTACATTATGATATATGTAGTAATAAATTAGGTCAAAATATTAGACTATGTTAGAAAATTTTTCTAATTTACTTATTGAATAAATAATATATTAAAATTTACTTCAAATCTCATTAAATTATTTTACAAATAATTGTTATTTTATATGCTTAATTCATACTTGTGGTTGCTACTTATATATTACAGTTAGTTGATACAGTTCTGTAACAAATTCTAATTATTTTTCAGTGAAGTTTGAACAGTATGATTATAATAATACATTAACATACATATTAGCTAATTAAATAAAGTAAAATAATTTAACATAAACTAAAAATAAATACAATATTTTTATAAAATTGTATTGTTTTCTGTTAATCTTTAAGTGTTTGTATCTTACAATTTGTAGGTACATAAAAATATCAGGCCAATGTTATTTTATTATTATACTTACTCGTATTTTAATGATTTAGATTCTAGATGAAGATTCTGGTTTTCAATGTTTTTCATTTTCTTTTTGTAAATCAAGTTCTCAAGCCTAGATTAACTATCAAACAAAATAAATGTTATTATAATTTGATTATTCTAAAAACTTACTAAATTATTTTTAGTTGTAATAATAATAAAAAGTTTAATACTTAATTTTTCATTTTATTTTGCATTTAATCTGTGTCTAAAATATTCATTATTTTTTTTTAAATAACATACAGATAGCCTTTTTATAGAGATAAGTAATGAATGTGTTTTTAATTACAACTATAGTTTACTTTTATTAATAAATTAAATAATTTAATATGTTTTTCTTGAAAACTTTATTTTAACTAAAACTTAGTTGTTTGATCATCAATAGTTCAACAGTATTAAGATATTTGACTTTTAACGTTTCTAGACCTATGACCTATTTCCAGACGTATTCAATTTTTCTACTTAATTTTTTTTTTTTAAATTGCATAAACTTACAAATTTTATTTTTCACAAATATTGATGACCTGAATGTTTCTTGTTTCTTTAAATATTTTAAATAATCAATAATTAAATATGCTGAATATAAATAGTATTTACATTATTTCATCATTTGATTATAAGTTTATATTTACCACCATCTTTAAGGTAAATTATGAATAAATTTATAAGTATTTGGGCTTATGTTACATTCTAATCTGTAGAGAAAACATATCTTTGAGAGTTATGGGTACATATAACACCCAATAAATGTAAACTAGGTAATCAATACCTACTATACAAATTTAAAAACTAAGCAAATCATATAGGTACTAACATTTACTTACATTTATTTTTTTAAATAAAGTAAATAAATTGGTATCTTTATAAATCAATTAAAATATTAATTATATAGAAATAATAACAAAATATTTATAATATATAAATAATTTATTAAAAATGATAAAGTATAAAGTATCTTTTTATATCAACATAAATGAAATATAAAATAAAAAATTATTCCCTGGGTTATTATTGTATTATAGGTATAAATATTCATGATTAGTTTTGATTTTACTCATAATCACTAAGTATAAATAAGGCAGTTAATTTTTAATAAATTATATTTAAGTAAATATGGTATTACTTTGGTATTATTATAAGAACTATAGAATTAAAGAATACTAAGATTTTTATTAAGAAAATCAATTAATGATTTTTCTTCAATAGTACTAAGAGTATTTATTTTTAAAATAGTAAATATTCATATTGTCATTTATAACTAAAACTCAGTAATAAATTAAAATTAACTATTCAATTAGTTATTAGTTATTAAAAATGTTGTGGAGTTCTTACTTGAAAAAGTTATTGTTATAGGTACAGCAGTTTTCTTATCTTACATATAATTAACTAAGGAAATCTATAATTAACGATACATTTAAAGTAAAGATTCCAGAGTGGAAATAGTATTATCAATACATTTATATGATTAATCGATTATGTATTATAAACAATAATATTCATTAAAAACTAGCTGACCCGATAAACGTTGTTTTGTCATATAAATTATTTCTAGAGAATATTTAGCTAGAAAAAAAAAATTAATTTAGTATAAGTGGAAGAGATATGGAGTGCTGTGAACGGTGACGGAATATAAAATGAAAAAACATCAAACATTTATTTTTTCAATAATTTATTAAAATTGATCCTTTAGAATTAGATATATCGCTAATTATGACAATATTAGTAAAAACCAATATCAATCCCTTAATGTAACAGAGTTTACAATATTTTTTGTTATTCCATCTTTCGCCAATACAAACTAACTGAATGGTTTAAGAGCACACCACGTATAATTGTCCGTGTGAAAAACATAATGTGCTCAAATTTAAGCCACAGACAGGCATCGTTTAGCCTTGAGACTTATTGATAATCATTGCAAATACCAATCTAATTGGAAATTGAAGGTGTTTAAATTGTATTGGCACATCTGTGGATGTAATAGGGACGGACTCATGGTCATAATATATTTTCACCTCAGAATTTGCCATTTAAAATCATGGCTTCGATAATATTTTTCATTCTTTTTTTAATGACTAATCGCGTGCCGTTGCACAACTGTGGTGGATTCAAATTATGAAGCAAAATAACCGGAGATCCAACCTTCAGTTGTAAATTATGAGGGGGCTTGCTTGGTAAATCCAATAAGTTTAAAAACTCTGTTGGATAATTTACAGCTTCAGTAGCATCGCAAAATGTATCAATAGATTTGTATGATACCAAGTCTCCTGGTAACAAATGTTGTATCTTGAAATTCAATTCATTGACATCCACATTTTTTGCTGCTAAAATTGCTCTTTCTGCCAGCCACTCATGATTTGTGTATTTTTTGTGTACATTGGGAAATATGAACCGTTTCATTTGTTGTAACTTTCCCATCACCGATATCTAACAACTATTTTGAAAATTTTCCGCAAGCCGCTTTTTTGATTGAATCGTAAGTATCTTAGTCGTTCACTATCTATCTTTAGATACATGTCGACCATGAATTGTTGACAAAGTTCACAATATCGTAGACTAACATTGTCCTGATCGCGTCTAATCATCAACCGATATGCATAATAATCCTTCGAACTAACATTCTTGTTTGTTTTGGAACCTATTGCGGGATCTTGTTATTTAATATTAATGCAATACCCATTATTTAATACCAAAAATAAAAATTAATAGTTTTTAATAGTTTTTTAATAGTTTCATTTCATAATTCATTTTCAATTGCGCAGTTATCGACCAGGTTAAAAATTATTAAATTAAACTACGGTTTATTAAACAATAGCACTTTTCCAAAATTTTTTTTTTCGTAAAAACCTTCTCTTGGCAATTACGAAAAATTAAAAAAAAATTTGAGCCAAATCGGTCTAACCGTTTTCAATTGATAAAATGTTATACATTTTTGGCTCCATTTTTATACATATATTCATTAAAAATATCACAGGGCTTGTAAAATGTGTTATCACTTCCAAGTATTGTTAACTGGTTTACTGTAATTTTTGTAGAATATCTGTAGTAAAAATTAAGTTTGTTTTACTTATCTTGTTAAAAGGATACTATATTATAATTAGGGTTTTTATACATTTATAAGGCGAAACCGGGACAAAACAAACACATTATTGAGTAATATACTTTTTATATAACTTTTAATACAGTTTGTAAATTAATTGGAAAGTGAGTAGTTATTACTCCTTATATTATGCAGATATTGAAGTTTCGTTTTTTTTTAACATAATATGTTACTTATAGCCCATCGTTTACCATGGTTAAAAAAAATCCAAAATTCAAAACCGCCAAAAAATTTTTTTAGAAAAATTTTGAAAACAGCCACTTTGTAGAATTACTTATAAATTACTAAAATAAAAACTTAAAATCGGTTGAATTTTGAATGAATGAGAGCATTTTATATTTTCAAAAAACACAACAAATTGTAAAATTGTATGGTTTATAAACTTTTAAATAGATTACTAATAATCAGTCTTGTAAAGTATTCGAATACAAGTATTTGAATACATGTATTAAAATACTTTTTGGAGTATTTTTTGGTATTCTAAATACAATTTTTAAAAGTATTTTTAACAATTTGTAAATACTTGTATTTAAATACCACAAAGTTCGTTTTATAATTGTATAATCATAATAATTCTCTATCCTTATAATTGTTCCTACTTCTAAGAATAATATTCGGTTACTATTGATGAATCTAATAAGTAATAAAATAATAAGATATTACTATAATATTATTAATTTTAAAACTGTTAAATTTCAAACCATTTTAAGGCTATCATATATTTTTTTTTTAAATATTATTTTGCTTAATTTTATATTAATAAGTATTAATTGTTATAGGTTGTGACAAATATCAATAAATAATAATGTAAATAATTTATTAAAATATGCAATGGTTATTATTTATATTGTAATTACAATTGGTAATATTTATTTTCTAAAAAGTAATTTATTTTTAACCATACCTGTATAAATGTAAAATAATATTATCTGCTTAATCTTTAAGTTTTAACTCTAAAAATGTAATTTCATGTTTATTAATTTCATGAATATAGAGTATCAAAGATAAATTTTTATCTCATTATATAGGTTATATTATAATATAATTATATAAAAAGAAAGCATTATATTAATGAGATTCAATTTATAAACACAAAAAAATTGTATAACAGAAAAAGTAGTATATAACAATGTTAAAAATTTTAAAAATGCTACATCCAATTTTATATGGGTTTATTATTGTAATTTGTAAGGAAATTTTTTCAAATAGTTCTATATTAATAATTAATACCATTTTTTATTTATTTTTTTGTCATTTAATTGTATTAATACTAGTAGATATATATAATATGTGAACATGACCTCTAAATAGTCAGACATGTTTTGTATTTTTCAAATTGTTAAATCTATAGTAATTAGTATCATAATATAGGTACCTAAACTGATATATAATGAGTGGCATAGAAATAATTTTTTTCTATTGGGGGGGAGGGGGTGGTTAACTATAATATATAATATAAAATTAAAAAAAAATACCTGTATTTGTATTCAAATACTTAGTGAGTATTCGTGAAATATATTTTTATAATAGTATTTTATAAGTATTTTTAATACTATTTTATTCGAATACTAGTATTATTATTTTAATACTTTTTCAAAAGTATTTTTTACAAGACTGCCAATAATATGATATTAGTTAATGAAGTACATACAACTCATTAATATTTTTATTTTTTGCTAATTGTTTTTAAGCTCTCATTCATTCAAAATTCAACCGATTTCAAAATTTTTTTTTCTCTAAATAACTTATAAGTAATTTTACAAAGTGGCTATTTACGATATTCTTGGCAATTTTGAATTTTTTTTAACCATGGTAAAAGATGGGTTATATGTTACATATTATGTTAAAAAAAAAACGGAACTTCAATATCTTTATAATATTGGGAGTAATAACTACTGACTTTTCAATTAATTTACATACTGTATATTGAGAGGACCAGTGGCGTATACATGGAGGGATGTGGGGATCAGATCCCCCTAGGCTTCTTTTTAAATGTTATAAAATAATATTCTTAGGGCGTTAGAAATGTAAATAAATAATGATAAAATAAAAATAATGATTTGTTTGAAAATGATCCTTCCTCTATACAAGTTATGTATACGCCACTGCCGGCAATATAATATTTAATAATATTTTTGTAAAATAAAATATATAATTACATGTGTAAATTACAAATTATGTTTTTATTATATATTGTCAATTGATTATGATTAAAAATGTACTTTGAGATAAAATGGTCAAAATTTAAAATTAAACAATACTAAATTTCCTATAAACGTTTAACCCGGAACACCGATACACGAAGTTCAAAACCGATGACAATCCCGGTTTTTCGGGACGCATGGCAATTCTAATTGTAATTGATATTCTGAACAGGGATAGTTCTGTAAAAGTTTATAGTGTTAATTGTATCTGTACTCATAAGCTCAACATCTCTGTTTCTAGTATATACAGTCCAAAAATTATATATCAACAGTATTGACTAAATCTATATAAATTTATATAAATATATATGCTTATATAATATATATTTTCAATTCATAGAATAATAATATAAAAATCTCAAACAGCTAACGCCTCGTGAGATTCTCAGAATCCAATGTGCATTGATAATTAACAAAGCAGTATACCTATTACCCTGGTCATTGAAAATACCCAAAAATATAATATTCAGTATTCATAAATTCACAATATTCTGTCTCTGTGATAAAATCCACTAGGAATAGCTGTGAATGACAGTCGCTCGATATTAGTACCTACATCTCGGTCATATCCATTACTATAAATATTAAATAATTCTTCTTCTTCCGTGAAAATAAATATTAAATAATTGTATGTCTAATGTATCGAGTGTGCCTGTGGCTCAGCTGCAAAGCGCATACCGGCTGCATATTAGCATTCTGAGGTCGGTCTCGGCACCGGTTATCATTTTAGCTTTCTGATTGGTCGTTTGATTTTGCCATGTTTTTTAAAAACTGTTATCTGGTATTATGTGTTATTTAATATTATCACATTGCAATGCATATTTACTATTTTTTTTTTTATAAAGGGTGAATATAAATAATCTTTAAAAAGGTTTTTACTTTTTACTTTTTGTAGATAGCTTTTTAAGTAAAATATTATAAATCGAAAAGTTTCTTAAAATGTTTAAATTAGTGGAATTTGATGATAATTCATTTCGTTCTAATATGTTTTCACACACCAGCTTGTATTAGTATTTTTACAATGAATACTAATCCAGGTACAAATATCTTGTTCGAAAAACATATTAGAACGAAATTAATTACTATCAAATTCCATTAATTTAAGCATTTTAAGATACTTTTTGACTTATAATATTTTATTTAAAAAAACTACCTACAAAAATTCAAAAGTAAAAACCCTATTAAAGATTATTTATATTCATACTTTATAATAGTATCATAAATAAATAGGCATTGCAATTCGATAATATTAAATAACACATAATACTAGATAACAAGGCTATAGGTAATAATTTTTAAAAAGCGCGGCAAAATCAAACGACCAATCAGAAATCTAAAATGATAACCGGTGCCGAGACCGACCCTAGAATGCTAATATGCATACCGGCTATAGGTACGTAATGATGTTATTTTTGTTATTCATAAAAGTGACCATTGTTTAGGAAGATATCTAAAAAGTTATCTCATAAGACCGTTTACGCATAAATTAAATATATTTAATCTATGGTTTACGTGACTATAGGAATAATATTTTATTATTTAAAATTATCACTTTATCACAAAACGATGAACCATGAACACTAAAGTGGTTATTCAACCACAGATATATAAACATATGCTTATGTTTCTAACTGTTTAATTCTTTAACTGCCATTTTGAAACTTAATTATTATCAACATTTCAACTAACTTAGAATACATTTTTGTAATAACTGTTTAATATCCATTGAAATAAATTGTAATTTTTGTAGTACGTTTATTTTAATGAATCCAACGGTTATTGATTACATTTCTAACTCGCAACTCCAGAAATAATAACTAAATATTTAAATAATTATTATAATACATTGACAGAGCACTAATCTCATTTTTCAACAACCCATCAATAAATACGTTTAATTATATAGAATTATATCACATTTTTTTGATGCTATAATGATGGATGATTTATGTACGAAAATTGATTTAGTTTTAAATGAATGTTCTAGATCATTGAGTGATATCGAAAAAAAAGATTGTTCTGAATTATTTTATAAAACAATATTTAAAGTAAGTTCAATTTGTTTTTTGTATTTAGTTGACAATTGTGAAGTCTGAGTTATCATTGAATAATGTTTAATTATAAATATATTTTTGAGTTTAAAATGTGTTTTATTTTAATACAAATATGCACAATACTATTTCAGAAGTAGATATTTTCTGCTATGTAAATCATCATGAAGAGATATTTGCTCTTGCCTTAATTTTTTCTGATTTATTCATTTTTCTATTATATTCTAATATTTACTGTTTTAGACAAAGAATTAATAATTAGTTTGGAAAAACATTTATATTATATACAAATGCAATAATAATTTAGAATTGTATTAAATCAGGGTTATAGCCCATAAAGTATTTTTATTTGTATATTATATTATGAGTTCTTTTATTTTAGTATTTAAGTAAAATTAATTCAAGTATAAATATTTAAAATAATTATAGAAATTTACCAATGGAGCACTTCTTCAATTTATCAAATGTATTCAAGAATTTTTAAAAACAATAAAGTGTAAAAATATTTATATGCTTTATGTATGTTTAAGTCAAATTCGAAAATGTCTTCTTATTTATGAAACTGCTATAACAGATCTAAATACTGTTTTAAACTTTGAAAAAGTATGTATAGTTTTATTTTTTTTATTTATACTATATTAATAATAATAATAAAATATATATATATATATATATATATATATATTTGGGTGGTCCTTAGTTATAGAGGTTAAAAAAAAATTGAAAAATTTATACTCGTGGGCTCGAAATTTTGTTTGGTATATTGACAAGATAATTTTGGTAAAATTTGAATTTGATAAGTCAACCCCTTCACGTGCCTCAAAGGGGTTAAAGTTGTATGCTAAGGGGGTGAATTATACATTTTCACCTGTAATGTCTTAAATTCTAAATTTAGATCATATATGTATAAGACTATTTTTATATTAATAAATATTTACTACAAAAAAGGTATCTTGTAAATTTTTTGTAAAATTAATACTTTTTCGTAAAATTAAGAAAAACCAGTCAAAGTCAATATTTTTGGAAAATGGTTCGTTTTTTAGTTATTTATCTGTATTTCCTTAAATTTTATAGCTAAACAAAAATTGTAAATTAGCAGTATTATTCCACACAATATTATCTATAAATAAGAAGTTTTCATTTTTTTTGGTACATTAACCCTTTTGTAAATAATCAAGAAAAACCTTAAAAATATAGGTTTTTACAACTTTTTATTTATTAAAATATGTTAATTTTTTAAATATTGTATTCATGTTACACAATATATTAATCAAATTTAATTTTAAGTTTATTCATTAAATATTAAAAAATAATATTAATGATGTATTATTAATAGGCATAAGTTTTCTTTAAAATCTCACGGCTAAACCCTGGATATTGTTGGCGATATTCTTGAACAACCTAAAAAAGTTACATGTATTTATATTATTTGATAAAGGTAAAATATCACAAGATTATATAAATATTTCATACTTGTAAAATAAATTGTTTTTGATCTTCATTTTTAGTGAATTTTTCATTATATTCCTCCATCAATTTTATCCCACGTTCAGCTGTATCGTTAACGACTTTTAGTGCAGATAATATTTCTTTAGCTTGTATATACTCATCCAAGGCTTTCCATGTGCTTGGATCTTCTCGTAAAAAGTTAAAAGATATTTTAAATCGTTGAAATAATTTCCATGATTTATTATTAAGCAGGGCAAATGGAAGATCTTGATTAACAAAATTTGATACATCGTCAAATTGTACGTTAATTTTTTTATTTGAACCTTCATTTTCTTCTTTGTTTATATTTTCTTCATATCCTTGCAAAATTTTATTTGCCATTCGATGTTTAGTATTGTAGTCAACTCGGTCATCAAATAATGAAAACACAGCACATTCTTCATTCAAATACCACAAGTGGTTTATGAATTTTTTTAAAGCAATTTCTCCCAATTTATTATTGTTATAATTCAATAACTTTTTTAAAAACATAATATCATTTATAGGAGCGGTAATAATATCTGGAGCCGAAATCCACACTTGAATATAACATTCAACTATAAAACTACATATATCTTCCAGTGACTTTTTTTCTTTTGTTGAAATTTGAAATTGATCACAAAACATTAAAATTTTAAGACAGTAGATAGGTTTTGACATCCATCGAGCTAAGTGATAAGCACCTGGCTGACGAAATTGTATACCATTTGGAGGTATTCCTCCTAAAAATATTAAAACTAGCTGTATAAACTCCTTATAGTCATCTCTCGGAAAGTGATTTTTAAGTTTGTCTACACATATTTTATTATCAAAATTATATAATTAGGTATATGTTTAGTGTGATTCGTGTTTAATAAAACTGCATTAAATAATGATGACTTTGAAAAAGGGAAACCATAACATTTTTAAATATAAAAGTGTTGGATGGATAATATTGCGTGGAAAAATATTGACTTTGACTGGTTTTTCTTAATTTTACGAAAAAGTATTAATTTTACAAAAAATTTACAAGATACCTTTTTTGTAGTAAATATTCATTACTTTAAAAATAGTCCTATACATATATGGTCTAAATTTAGAATTTAAGACATTACAGGTGAAAATGTATAATTCACCCCCTTAGCATACAACTTTAACCCCTTTGAGGCACGTGAAGGGGTTGACTTATCAAATTCAAATTTTACCAAAATTATCTTGTCAATATACCAAACAAAATTTCGAGCCCATGACATAACATTAATGAAGTTCATAAATAAGGACCACCCTAATATATATATTATATTTTATTTATTAAATACTAATAATTTTATTATTTTATTAGATTTTAAGCAAATATTTAATCAAAAGAATTCAAAAATGTTTTTATAAATTAGAAGACTATTTGGAAATGTTAGATTTAACTGATGTAGATGAGCATCCAGGAATATTCATTGATCGAATGAACATTGTTTTAAATGGGTTAAATAATAGAAATTCATTGTCACTTATCAAACCAAATATTGATAAAATTTTATTTCAAGCAATAACTATTGCTAAAGTTTCAGATGAAATGGATAACTTAGAAATAACATCTTCATGTAAACATGTAAATTAATGTCAATCAACTATTAGTAGATAAATATTTTAAGATATGAAAATATTTTCAAAGGTTATAAAAGCAGTTCAATATTTTGAAAAGATAGATATTAATGAAACTGATAGTTTTTTCCAATTTGATTATCTATCTTCATCATTATCTATTCTTGAAAGACGAACTAATACAGCAGTATTGAATCTTATTTTAAAGGTAAAAGGCAAAATTAAAATTGTAATTAAGTATCATCTATGTATATCTACATCTATATTTCCTTGTTTAGATTTTTAATGATCCATTTTTTACAATTAAAAAACTTATAAGAAAATGTGGAAATTCTACCGACATCCAATCCAGAAATTCATCTGATTTATCAATTTTGGTTAGTGATTTAGACAAATCTACAGACTTATTAATTCAAATTGGATTATTTTCTGTGGCTTGTTGTAAAAATGATGAATGTGAGTATGTAGACATACTTATAAGTTATGATAACTATCTTTTTAAAAAATTTACTATTTCATGTGCAATAGAACTTGAATTTTGTTTTCTAAATGACTGACTAAACTTATTTTTAGCATTTTATTGAGATTAAATTATTTTTTTGAAACATTTTGATTTAAAATATTAATCTTAAATCTAAAATTAACTTACTAGTCAATTTTACAAATACTAGTGCATTATTTTGCATAAAATTTCTTTTTTTATTGTCCTTGTCTCAATATTTTGACAGGTCTTAAATATTTTTTCTTATCATTTTGGGAAAGTAAATCTATTTCTTTGGGAGTCAAGCTTTTTAAATCAACTATTTTATATGGCCATTAATTTTCCACTAGGCCATATTTTTACAGCTGGGCTGTTTAGCAAGGATATGTAGAAGTAAAATTACTTCAAATTATTATTTTTTCATTGTATATTCAACAAAGTTATAAATTTTTTTTAAAACTAAAAATTGTACCTGTATTATCTTGTTTATTTTCCATATTATTAAAGACTTTAAATATTTTGTTTTATTTAGATATTATTTCTTTAAAATGTTGTATTTCAAGCTTGGAGCTTTTAGACAGTGACATAGTACCGGCAATCATTGAGTTTTATTTAGATCCAACATCAATAGTAAAAAAAACTTTTTTAAAACTTCTTATAAAGCACTGGGTATGTGAAATTTGTGAAATACAAAATCTTCTAAACAAAATTGTAGATCCTTTTGCATTTACTCAAGTAAGATTTAAAACTAATTCTTAAAACCCATGCTTAATTTGTAAATGTTTAAATTTAAAATTAGACAACAATTGAAACATCCATGAATATTATTGATTCTTTACATGAAAGTGATTCAAAAACTAAAATTGATTTGTATGTGAAATTATTAAATGGTTTTATTAATTTTACTCAGTATATTGAAAAAATATTTGATTCTGAGATTTTAAAAGAGAATGCATTTTCTAAAATATATGGACAATTTAATGAAGGTAAAAATGAATTATTCTAAGTAATAAAACATTTTATAAACTATTTTCTAATTTTTTTTATTTTTTTTTCAGCACTGAAAGAATATAATGCATGTTTAATTTTTACCCAAAAAAATAATCTCGATAAAAATGAAGAATTGATAAAAAAAAAATTACTTAAAAGATGTGAAATTGTACTTAAATATTTAAAAAATATCCAAACATCAATGAGCAATATCTTGGATGATAAAAATTGTAAGTTATACCATTGATTAAGCATATTTAACTCTGTATATTTAATCAATGGTTATACTTTATTACAAACGCAAATTTGGATAATTTTGGGCCTGGAGCCAAACAATTTTAGGGACCTATATTAATGAGAAATAACTAAATAGGTATGTTTGGTAAAATATAATACTATCTACCTTTCATGTTGACAACATTGAACATTTTGAACTGAAACCATGATTAAGTTAAGCTACATTTTAAGTGATAAAAAAAAAATCACATTTTAAATTTAGCTGAGAATTAACTTTAATTATAGTTTAAATTATCTTAATTGACAATTGATAAAACGGGTCTTAAAGGCACAATAAAAAAAAAAAATAATAATAATAACCAAAATATATTTTTAAACATTAATTATATACATATACATCGGGTATTTAAGTTATATAAAATATTTAGTACTTCTACAATTTATAGTTAATACAACAGTTATCTAATCTAAAATTTGTGTTTTTTTTTTTTATATAAGTATTTAAGAAACTAGGGATTTTGAAACTGTTGTTGTTAAGTATAAATATTATGACTATAATTTTAATTTTATCTTAGGGTCAAAATCAGAAAACACATATTATATTTTATCTAAAACTAAACAAGAGTCCATTTTTTTGGAACAAAATGATAATCTAGAGGATAATTTTGATTTAAATATGATATTTTCAACTGTTCATCAAATTCAGAAATCATTCTATAATAAATCAGTTCATAAATCATCTAAAACATTTTACACTCAAAATTATAGTTCAACTAATGTTAATGAAACTATGTATGAGAATACTGCTACTATGGATCTCACAAGTAAATCATATTTTCTTTACTATGTATACTTAAAAAATGTATGTTAAGTAAATTATAATAATTATTTTAAAAGATATTTTAGATAATTTTATTGAAACATTTAATCCGAGTATCAGCAAAACTACAGCTACCATATGGGAAGAAATATGTATTGACATTTAATATTTTTACAAATTTTAATATTTTGAAAATAATGATAATAATATATTCATTACCTAGGAATTAAAAAATGTACTTACATTTATATTATAATTACTTCTTATATAAAATTAGTATTTATTAGTAAATATAAGTATTTAAATTGTATATTATACTTACATTTGTCATTTGTTTTTAATTAATTAGTTATTAATTACAATTATTTTGAATAGTGTTAAGTGTGACCACAGCTGTAATTGGAAATAAACATAATAATTTAAGTCGATTATAATTTTACCATAAAATAGTTATAACATTAACATAGTGAATGTGAGTATAAATAATAAGCCCATCATCTACTACTTGTAATTATAATATTTATTGTATTAATCACCATTAATCGATTTTCTTCACTGTAGGGTATATGGAAACTTCAAGTATAATATATAACCATGCATAATACTTGCATCCCAAATTTAAAATAGCCCTTGGTCATCAAGCGCGAATGCAAGACGTAGTTAAAGGTTCAATCTTCCCTCCTACATTATCAGAAAAATTGTATAAAAAAATTTCTGACCTACAAATTAATTAGTTATTTCATATTTTCCCATGAGACTTGCAAATAAAGTATATAAATATATGTATTATATAATGAGTAATAAATAGGGAACAGATTTATATGTAAATGCATATTTTTATTAAAATAATGATACTTTTATTTTATATATTTTGGTATAGTTAAATATTTTTACATATTTCACTAATTTGTAAATATTTTATCATTTCATCATTTATACCATTGATTATAGAATCTATTACATAATCAATGTTCATACATCTTCATACGATGATACTAAAAATTATTTCAAAATTAGATCCAGAAACTTCTATCGCTATTGAAAAAGCTCAAAATATTATGCAAAATGAAACATTGAAAAATAATTTAATTTTCATCTCAGTGAATTTTAGTGTAATTGCACACTCAATTACAAAATTAGAAACAAAAAATATGTCCTTGAATGATAGTATGCAAATTGTCGAATTAGCAATTGCAAAATTAAAAATTTGTATCATTACATTCTGACCAATAGGATATGTAGTAAAAAAGAAAATTCTTGCTGGTCATCCTTCTAAAAATTTGAAATTATCGCCTTCTGATAGTATGCACTTCAAATATGCTTTAAATACATAGGTTGATATGGAACAATAATTTAGCCGTTTTAAAAATATTTTAATACCTAATAAGCGACATTTAACATTTAATCATTTAAAAATTATAATTATTTTAATTTTTTTTTCCACATATTTGGATGTTTTTAGCACATATTTTATAAATTACACTTAGTATATATGTACATATTTCTGTATTTAATTACATATAAATCTGTTCCTTAGTAATAAAGTATACTATTTATCAACATTTATCCTTAGTAATAAAGTATACTATTTATCAACGTTTTACAGATTTTTCAACACCCCTTCCCATAAAATGTTTGCATTTTTTGCTATTTTTAAAAGCATTAAAATCAGTGGCGTCTCCAGAATTTTTTTTTCTGTGGGGGGGGGTTAATTTTATATATAGTATATATTATACCAGTGGTCATTAACCGGTGGGTCGCGATAAGTTTTCTGTTTAAAATTTAAAAAATTAAAATTTATATATATATTATATAATGTATGTCATATGGTATTGCATAAAAATGTTTTCGAATAAACCCGAAACCGAACTATTTTATACTATTATAAATTTGTAGAAGATTAGAATAAACATTTTTTCCTCAAACACACATACTTATTAGAAAAAATCCTCAAACCAATATGCAACTCATACCACTAATCATTAACTGTCGAACACATAGTGGAGGAGTGTACCTACACAATTTACTTCAATACGCACCCCGACCTGAACATACCATCCAACATAGTAAAAGTACTTAGCGAAAAACAATCACTGAAAATTGTCACATTATTAAACGTTAATGAAGTTAGTCCCACCAAGTCGTCTTAATGACTCCAAACAGGTGTCAATATTTTGCAAATTAATTGCAAATTGGGTTTTAGAATTTGCAAATCACAACAAAAGCATAAATAAAAATTTTAGTTTGGTGGGGTTAATTTCACTCAACCCCGACAACTCGTTCCTGTGACTCCAAACAGGTGTTAAAATTTTATTTACTATTAAATGTGTTTGGGTATTGGATTATTTATAAAAAATTTAATTATATAATTAAATAACTAAAAATTAACCAAAAAATAATATTTTGTAATAGAACAAAAAAGGTGTACACATAGGTGTTTTAAAATCAAACAATTATTTATATTATACAATTTTGAACTATATCACAGAATATAACTATATCCTTTGTTGTATAATCGCAGTAAAAATAAATGTTTTTCTATTATAAATTTAAAAATCTTAATTTTTTTGTTTTTACTTTATTTTTTTTTTTTTTTTGTTACAAAATAATTTTTAGTATAGGAAAAGTGGAAAAATATAAAAGTTAAACTTTTAAGAAAATATTCCATGTGAATAAGATTTGTGAGCGCATATAAAATGTAAAGTATATACAGAACTACAGTGTATGTAAAAAAAATATGTATATAATAGTTTTCTATACTTTGTATAAAATAATTTACTGTTTTATTGTAATTCAGTTACGCATTATATGGAACTGTGGCATATCTTTCTGAACATTATATTGCTTATGCCAGGCGCATTGGTGGATGCTGGGAAGTTCATAACGATGTAAGAAAAACATACTCCAAGTTTCATAACCCTAAAAAAGTAAAAATATAACCTCATTTGTTGATGTACCTATGCTTTAAAATAAAATCTACTATAAAACTTTCTTTTTTTTTTTTGTAAAATCTAGGATGATAAATAATAAGTGATATCATATGCATATAATGTATATTTAATATTTTGTAAATTATTTATGCTATTTTAAATTGAAATAATTCAAGAAGAATATTATTTATTTCATAATAATTGATTGAAATCCTTATACAGTTACATGTATATTTTAAAATAATATTATTATCTCCTTTTTTTTAAATATTTTATAATTTATTTTTTTTAAATCAAGAATGATATTCGTGCACTCATTATGTTAATTTAATTTAAAAAAATTCATGAAGAGAATGTTTTTTTATAAATATCCATTTGTTTTATTTGTCATATATCAGAATATAATTCTTCGTAGTATTTAACTAATATTACATTGTATTTTTAAGTCTCCAAGTTGGAATTACTAATATTGAAGAACTTTTAATATAATAATAATAATAATAATAATGAGATAAATGTGGTACAACGTAGAAGTAAGTTTAAATGTCTAATTCTCGATTATCACCGTTATAAATCGGCAGTAGTTTCAAAAAGTCATATACAAGTTATTGTAATGTAATTAATTTTTCATCCTTCCCAAAAACTGGTAATGTTGCAAATTAGGTACATTGCCTATGTACAGTGGCGTAGCCAAGGGGGGGCTAAGGGGGCTATAGCCCCCCTATGGGCCGTGTTTATATGTATAATGTATCTTGACTATTTAATAGAATCAATGCTAGTTTTAATCAAAGGCTTATTGATGTTATTACCCTTGAAGGACTTATTCCGGCCAATTTAAATATGTATGACGATAAAAATATTATAAAAGTTGCTAAAATATATGTCCAAGATCTCCATGGTGATACCTCATCTACAATCAGGGCTGACCTGTTCATATGGAGGCAACAATGGAGTCAAAATATTATTCCAAAACCGAATTCTGCTCTTGATTCACTGTCTCATCGCACCAATCTTCGACCTAACATTAAAATACTTTTACAATTATTCGCCACGTTACCAGTTACCATTTTTCACTCTGGAAAGAACGTTTAGCTTAATCACTTAAAATTTTTTTTAAGAAGCACCATGTCGGAAAACAGACTGAATGGGTTAGCTATGGCTAATATAAATAAAAAAGAGCAATTCCATGAAAGTGAAGCAAGTGACTGAACACTGAAACCAAAATTATTATTATTATTATAAATTATATATTAATAAATATTTTTAAAACTGTACTAAAATGCTTGAATTACGTTTAGAAACTTGGTGGTAGATGGTGGAGGGGGAGTTAAGGGTGAATTCTCATATTCTCTCTTACCTTACTTATCCAAAAAAAGTGGTAAGCCCCCCCCCCCCATTTAAAAATACTGGCTACGCCACTGCCTATGTAGCAATCTCTTTTGCAGCGCCCATAATCAGTTTTGACTATAGACATAATAATATATATTAAGTCTACTGTTCTGAATGATTCAGATTTCTGTTTGCTCGACATCTTATCATATTTTGTGCTGAACGTCAACATTAGTCAAAGTTTTCAGCACTCGCAGCATTAGCCCGTTAAGTGATGAATGTCAACAAATAAAATACAACAATGTTTATGTTATTTTTTTGGTTATTCTCGTACGTGTTTTACTCAGTTTACACGCGTTCACGATAATGTCGTCGTCGTGCAAACGCTGCGGTCAAACCGATCACGTACGAGCGTCGTTGGTTAAACGTCTGCAGCGCGTATTGTCGCAAAAGCAAAGGTTTGCCTCGGTTACGACAAATAAAAACGTATCGACGTATACCGTTCAAGAGTGTTTCCACAAGTTTTGTCCGGACTCGGCGTTACGCGAGCGCATACCGCGGACGTGTTCTGGCCGTCGAAGCTTCTGTATACGTACACTATCATTATACGAAACTATTACACTCTGAAGATTGCGGCAACGCATTTACCGAGAATTCGGCGTTTACGCAAAACCACTTGCTCTTTTTTTACTATCATCTGCAGGCATTGGCGCAACTAAGTCTAAAATATTGGAGGCTGAAACCCTACAGATAAATTTAGTCAACGTGAGCCATGGGGGGGCTTCGCCCTTCCATACCCCCCATTACCACAGCCACAGAACAATAATTATTAATTAAAATAAAAACAATCATAAAATATTATTACAATACTATATTATTAAATATCATGTACCTACTTCTATGTAGTATGTTTTACATAAAATATGACATAACACCACCGCAATATTCCACCGTCGTTCGTCACATTTAT